TATCTTAGAAACATCTTAGTAGAAAATCGCTCCCTGTCGCCTAAATCTCGGCCAAAGTTAAAAAATCAAATTTTTCAAGCGGAAATTTCCGGAGGTCATGTGAGATTCCGTAAATCGATGCCTAATTAAATTTCCTGATGTATTAACTACACTTTCTACTATGCTATCTATTATACTATTTATTATACTATTGAATATACTATTAATTACGCTGTACATTATACTGTTGATTATACTCAGATCTACAGTTGTAATACCTAATAGTTATATTAATTTCTAAATGATTTACACTAATAGTTTCCTATATAATATATACTAATAAAAATATGAAATTAAACAAATAAAATATAATTACAAATAAGCTAATATATGATAATAATATAAATAATAAATAAGATAAAAATATAATAATAATAAAATTTGATAACTAAAGTCAATAACAGGATTATGGTTCCATTTATAAATTTTGGCTATTCCTGTATGAGTAATTAAATAGATATATAGGTAAGCTATAGATATCAGGTATATGAATTATAATAAATAAAATTTTAACACAAATCTTTCATAAGTTCTTATCCCAGTAGTAATTAGTAGATCGAATCTGAACTTATGAAAATAGTCCTCAAAAATTTGCTTGTGGCTTATTATCTTTCCTATTAATGGACATCTGATCTCTTAGAGAAGTTTCTTCAATTTCTTGTACTGAAGAAAGTAGCTGGCGGCTTAGTTGTAATTAATGAATTTGATAAAAAAGAGTTACAGTATTTCATCCCTTGAGATATAATATGTTCAATAAGATTTATGACACTGAAAATATATCAGGACAAATGCTAGTACTTTCGTATAAAAAGATAAGTATTCTATTGAAACTCTATAAAATATTATGTGAATGGTATGTAACATTATATAACAAAAAAAGAAAAGATGTGAAAGTATGTATAGAAGTGACTATGAACTAACATGTAAGATTAAAAATAGGTAATGAAATATTTGAGTTCAAAATCACAGGTCAATATGAAAATAATATAGTAATTTTAATGAAGTGAAATTTGTTTAGAGATGGGACAAGTAATATTTATTCTAGAGAGTTACAATATTACTTCGAGTATACACTTACACTTCTAATGAAGGAATCTAAAACATATCTTCTAGCAAACGTCAAATGATATAAAAATGCACCTTCTTTTAATATACAATTTAAGTATAAGTTTATGGCATCTGAAGTATCGAATACAGAATTATAGAAAGAAGAATATTATGAGGAAAGTCAAGATTCAATTATTGTAGTATATAGAATATATAGTAGAACTATTAAGATAGACTATCAGGTTGAGAATAGGAATAATTATATATTAATAATTCCATTAAATAGAAGATTTAATGTTTAATTTATTTTTTTTTTTATATTATAATAAAGACAACTTCAAGTAGAAAACTTGAATTTTAAATGTATACTGCATAAAGTATACCTGCCACCCAAATTCAAAATCCAAATGCCGAAATCCCAAATGCCGAAATCCCAAATCCCAAATCCCAAATTATGATTAGTATTTTTTGCCGAAATCCCAAATCCCAAATCCCAAATACTAGTAATTTGGAATTTTGGCATCCCAAATCCCAAATGATTTGGGATTTGGGTAACACGTATAGCATAAAGACAAATTAAGTTTAATTAAAATGTAGTATCAGAGATCTGATAGATTATATAAAATTTAAAATAAAAAATTTTCTTATGTACTCGATAAGAAAAAGAATATTAGTTCCTGATATATACTTTAAAAATATTGGGTACACAATATTACTATAATATTAGGTACCCAAAGGAATTTAAAAAATATCATACTTCTGATATTACTATTTATTATCATATACCTAATATTAATAAAATATCAGATATCTGAAATTAAAACAAAATTTATTGCATAGTTATTGGACGCATTATAAAATTTACAAAAGTACTATTGGGCCTTTAAAAAAAATACAGATATCGGGTTCCTAATATATATAAAAATATTTCATGTATATAATAATTTTTTGATAATTATTTGATATTTGAAAATATTGGGAGTCAATAGGTATTTGATAAATATTCAATATTCAAATTTTGATCTGTGAGTTAGTGAATATTTACACGTGATATCTGAATGATATAGATAATCCTCTTTTAAACAAGAATATTGGTTAATACCTGTTAAACCTTGAATTACAGAAAGATCATTATCTATACTAATTATAACTAGTTAGGATTAATTCATTAACTTTATGATTTAGTTCTAGTGTACTAATCATTAGGTTATACAGACTAAAGCCATAGAGCATCTAAACATATTTAATTAAAATTAAGTAAATAATTAATGATTTAATTCTAGAGAATAGTTTTTGAATATCCAGTATTTAACCGTTGATATTAAATTCAATTTGTAAAAAAAAATTTTAAAAATTTCAAAAAAGATACTTCTATTTCTTGGATATAAAATTAATTAATAACATATTTAATAATTTATTAGTAAATAATAAATTTTTATATGTAGAAACTTTTAATATTTATTTTTTGATTTTTAAAAAAATCAATATTGATTATTTTATCTTTGATATTTTTTAAAAAATTCAAAAAAAAAATTTAAAATTGATAAACTTTTGATATTTATTTTTTGATTTTTAGAAAAATCAATATTAATTATTTTATCTTAAAAAATCCAAAAAAAAATTTAAAATTGATTATCAAAAGTTATTACATATAAAAGTTTATTATTTATTAATAAATTATTTAATAAAAAAAAAAAAAAAACTCTCTTCTATATCTAACAAAAATCAAAAAACATATGAATATAAGTGACAAAAATATTTTTTTTGAAAGTTCAACCTCCTGAAAGAAATACTACTACACCCAAAACTTTAACAGTCCTCTTCCTAAAAAGTAAAAAAACAAACAGAGTTATAAAATATAATATTTTTTAAAAAAATACAACGCTCCCCAAAATTAAAGAGTTTTTAATGTTTTTTCTTTCATAACCCTGAAGCAACAAGAATTTTTCATATTATATTAAGATATTTTATTAATCTGTAATTCAAAATTTGTAATCTATAACTTATTATATTTTCCTTATTGAAACAAACATTTTAATAGTTTTTTATTAAAATTGGATCTCTTTATACAAAGTTAATATTTTATTATTAGTTATTATAATTTTTCATGTTATATGAAACAGTTCCAATAACCTGTGATCCATATTTAGTAATCTACATTGGATATTTATCAATAGATAAATTTCATTATAATTTTTCATGTTGTATAGAGAGATTTCACTAATCTATAATTCAATTTTTGTGATTTATGACTTATTAGATTCCTTTCATTGAGACAAACATTTTGATAATTTTTTCATTCAAATTGGACATCTCCATGTCAAGTTATTAATCAAAAAATTTGGTGTAAAATATTTATATTAAATCACATGTTTTGTTAAAATTCACACGTTTTATAATAACCCTTTTGAGTCAGCTGATTTCTACCATTGGAGATTATTGGCGATGACGATAATACTATTTGTGTATGACTCATGATTTACATTCTTTTTAGATCATTAGATTCTATTAATGATTTATTCTTTGAATATGTCAATCACTGGTGAAAATACAGTGCCCAACTTTTCGTTGCCAATTAAGATGATTAGTAATCGAACGGACATTCCCGATTGGTAAGAAAGGTGGAAAATTCCATAAAACTCCGGGTTTCCTCATGCGTGTTTTTTGTTGACGGCAATCGCTTGAATTGGGTCATGTGACAACCATTTTTGGTATTAATCGATGCAAATGCGTGAATAATGCTATGTACCTTCGCCTCTAACGTAACAATCGAAAATTGACCAAATCGATATATTATATTCATGTCGATCCGTGAAACAAAGTAATAATTCAATAAATGCACTTAATTAAATTAAAAACGTCAACCAGTAAAACTTTATTGTAATACAGGAAATCCTATCATTTTTATGTACGTAACGAATTTATTAACGGTTAATTTTGATTTGATATTTAATACTTTTCTGTACAATATGTATAACGAATTAATGAATTACAATGATGATGTTATGGTTGATTGAATATTTTGTAATTATTGCGAATACAATTTATAATGTGAAATTAAAAAAAATGCTGGATAAAAAAAAAAACTGAAAGCTAAAAAAAAAAAATTTGATTCGAAGAAAATAAAAGGATCTTCGATGACTATATACATATGTCAGAAAAAAATATTTTACATTAATCACGTGAACAATATTATACGTGTGCATCAATGTCTGATCCACTCCAAAGTCGGTTACTGGTTCGATCGCCAATTGTAGTTTTCGGTTCAGGATCCGATTCGTCGGTCGTAACTGGTTTCAAATCCATAATAGCAATTGAATCACGAAGAGAATTCTTTCGAAGCATAACGTTTTGACGTTTACGTTCTTTAGATGCCATGGCTTCTGCATCCATTCTCGCAAATTCTTCTTCTCCGATTGTACCATTAACAACGTTTAATCTTAATTCGGGATTTTTAGTATCTTTTAAATTCCAAACTTTACTTCGAGCGGTATCCTTATAATGTTTGTTTACTTGAAAGTTACAGTCACGATAGATACAATGTTCAATAAGTCTTGATTTTTCGGCTAATTGAGATTCATCACTTCCGTTGGAATTTCCAACGAGTGCTTGATATAACATTTTAATAACATTATCTCGAATTTTATCTCCAGTGGCAACTTGAACTGGCATATTATATATCACGTGACGTTATTTTTTTAGAAATGTGATTGTCACTACACAGTTAGCTAAGTTAAAAAAAAACTATTTAAATCTCGGGGGAAGAGTTACTAAAGGGTTATTTTGAGTATATGGGGTATTATATTGACTACCACTATAATAATTGGACAAAGTTTTATTATAGGATTTACTTCTTTCTTATATATCAAATCTAATAATAGGCTTTAAAAAGGCTTGAGAACTTCAGGAGAAAAGTAAAATTTGAGGCCTATTTATACGTTTTTACGAAACACGATCAGTAAACAAAAAATTGTGGGATTTTTGCTGGCGTAAATATTTTTTGCCCCATGCAGATTTATGAGATAATAATGATAATAATAATAATAATAATAATAAATAATGCAGTATCAAATTGCAATTAATCGTAATGTTATTTCACGTGATTACCGCGAATGAAACTGCGTGATGTATTTAAAAACCCTTGTGTTTAACTTCTTTTCTAATAAAAGAAACTCATTTAAACGAAAAATGTCAGGGCAAGATAGGGGCATAATAAATTATTTAAAACTTGAATAAAATTTATTAACGAACTAAAATTGGTTTTCTGTTACACGATAGCTTTTTAATGGTCTGAAATGGCAAATTTTAAGGCTTAGTCTTAAATATATTTTTAGGTTATAATGATTCTTGGCTTTTTTAAATTCAATCAGCGATGCCACTAGTAATACGTTCTCGAACTTTAATTATTTTAATCGTTGTAATAACTTTCCTTTATGTTTTTTGGCCAAGAGAACATAGACAACAACAATGTCCACCAATTAGGGTTGAAAATGAATTAAATTCAGAACTTGGACCTTTAATTGATGCAGTACGATCCACAATCATAACTGACAATAAAGGTAATCAAAAAGTATATCTCAATGCAAAAGGTTACATAACTTTTCTTTCTGTGTTAAGGAAACAACATCACACAATGGTTCATAAACTTGTTAAAAGTGCAGAATGGGCTCTTGGAAATAATAGTGTTTATTCTGTAACATTAAAACCTCAATTACCACCTTCGGGAGATCCTCATGATTATATGTCTTTGGGGAGATATTATTGGCCGGATCCAACTAAACCTGATGGTTTACCATATATTCGTAAAGATGGATATCCTAATCCCGAATTTTTTTCTATTAATGATTATTTATATTTAAGAAAAATGTTTAGAGAAGTTCAAAACCTTGGATTCGCATATTTTTTTACATATGAAGAAAAATATGTAGAAAAGGCAATGGCGCGATTAAAAGAATGGTTCTTGGATGAAAAGACCAAAATGAATCCAAATTTAAATTATGCAGGATATAGAAAAGGTGAAGCCTTTGGATGGAAAGCAGGTGTTTTAGATTTCCATCAAGTCTTTAGGTAAATTATTTAAACTTATATAATTTGTTAGTATTATTTTATTGATATTAATTTATTGATATTATTTTATTGATATTATTTATTAATATTATTTATTGTTGATATTATTTAAATATTAATTGATATTATTATATTTTATTATTAATAGAATATTACAAGTTATTCCTTTACTTCGAAATTCACATTTATGGGATCCGGAGATTGAAATTGGATTAAAAACTTGGATGACAGAATATTATAGTTGGCTTACTACTTCTACAATTGGAAGAGCAGAAGGTAAATCGGTAAATAATCATGGTACATTTTATGATGTCCAAGCATTATTTTTATTGGATTACCTTAATCGTTATGATGAAGCAAAAACTTTTGTATTACAAGCATTACAAAATCGTATAAATGATGGTATTCTTCCAACTGGTCAACAACATTATGAGACTGATAGACCTACAAGTTGGTTTTATTCAGTTTTTAATTTACAAGGATTATTTCTTCTCGCCGAAAGAGCTGATCATTATGGTGTTGATGGTTGGCATTATGAGGGACCATCAGGTCAAAGTATTAAAAAGGCAGTTGATTTCTTATTACCTTATGCACTTAATGATGGAAAAGGATGGCCAGTAAAAAATATTAAAGGATTTGAAATGAATGATTATGTTAAATTATTAGAATTATCATATATTATTTATGGAGATGATAAATATCTTGAAGCTATTGAAGAATTAAGACCAAAAACGAAAGCAGAACAAGCAGTAGGATCAAAAATGGCTCATTGGGAAGATAATTATTTATGTAATATAGCATTATTATCAAATAGATTACTTTGGACTTGCTTGTATTAAATTTATTATAAATTTTTAGAATAATTAATTAATTAATTAATTAATTAATTAAAAAATTAAATTTTATAATTAATATATAACTAAATATATAATAATATAATTAATATAGTATAATTTGTGTCATGTGCCTTTTACATTCAACCAATGAACCAATAAACTTTTTTTTTTTTTTTTTAACTTTTTTACATAGAAATAAAAAAATGTTTATTCTAACAGTATTAAGAGATACTATTCATATTCAACCTTACGATTTTCATAAACCCAAATACGAAGCTTTAACCGATGAGATAAATCGAATTTATGCAAATAAAGTAATAAAAAAATTTAATTATATTATTTTGATTTGTTTTTTCATTTTTTGTTTTTAAACTTAAAACATTTAGGTAATTCAAGAGATAGGTCTCTGTATATGTTTGTTTGATATTCTGTCCGCAAGTGAAGAAGTAGTTCATTATGGAAATGGCGCAAGTTACGCAAACGGTACTTTAATTTTAAGGAACATTTTTTTTTACTGCAATTCACGTGTATTTTTCGCGACGTTTATAAATGTGGTTTGTAAAAAATTTAGTCACTTTTCGATTAGTTGTATTTCGACCATTTATCGGAGAAATACTTGAAGGAACAGTATCAAGTAATACTGCAGAAGGTGTAAAAGGTGATCTTGGTTTTCCTTCTTTTTGTTCCTTCTTTGTTTCTTTGACAAATCATCTCTAATTCTATTTTTTATATAATCACAAGTGACATTGGGTTATTTTGATGACATATTGATTCCAACAAACCAGGATGATAAATGGAAGTTGTAAGTTTATATTTTAATTTAATTTAATTTTTTAAAATTTTTTTTTTTTGAATATTTTTGTAAATATTAAATATTATCAATTTATTATCAATTTATTATCAATTTATTATCAATTATTATTATCTTTAACATTCTTCTCCAAATAATAATGATAATAATAATAATAATAATAATAATAATAATAATAATAATAATAATAATAATAATTATAATAATAATAATAAATTTAACTAATGATGATTGTAAGTGATCATGAAACTCAAGTATGGGTAAGATTATGGGATAATATAATTCCAGAAGAAGAATGGGAATCAGTAGAAGATAAATATCTTTATATGTATATGGACAAAGATCTTCCCATAAGATTTCGTGTAATAGATGAAAAATTTACAGATGTTGGTACAAAAGGACCACCACCTAAAAGGACTGGTGCAGTTGCCGGGCAAAAAGCTCCAATGCCCGCATCATCATCTTTACCTTCTGATGTTATGATTAATCCAATTACAACCTCCACTGTTGAAACTATTATTACTTCTTCTTCTTCTTCTAATGAACAAAATACTAGAAGAATGATTCCTGGTAACAATGGTGGTATTGGTGGTATGACATTAGGTATGAAAACAAGTTCTTCTTCAACTATATTAAGCAATAAACTTATTATACCATTTAACAATACGAAACAAGTACCATATGAGTTGATTGGATCTATTGCTGAACGAGGATTGGGCGCAACTGTTTGGAATTGGAGTTAAATTTGTTTTAACAGTACATTGAGATAGAGATAATTTTTTTTTTTAAATACACAAACCATTTGAACTCGTTTTTTTTTTCAAAAATATTTATCTTAATAATAATAAAAATGTATTATAAAATGTACTATAAATTATATTTGATCGATATTTTTTGATACATTAAAAATTTCTTGAAATATGATTGGATGTTGAAATCTAAAAAAAAAATGTATGCAAGATAATGCATTTTTAACATCTACAAATAATCTTTTTTTTTATTTATTGCAAAAATGCACGATTTTATGAGTTATTGTCTTCGTCAATATTACAAGACAACTGGTTGGAATGAAGATAACCAATACTCAAATTTATGTGCTGCTTCCCAAGGTGAGCATTAAAATATTATTATTATTTTTTTTTTTTGATCTTTTATATTATTTATATTATTTATATTATTTTCTCACTCTCAAATTATTTTAATAAATTTTTATCCAAGCAATTTTGGATTTCGATCCTCCTCGAGGATTTAATTTCGAAATTTCAAAAATTCAGACATCCATGTTTAAGTCCTCTTATACCATGAATGCTTCACCAATACTTAATGGTTCAATTGGTTATCTTTTTACTTCACGTCCCTTGATTGTTGACCCCAGTTCTCACTTAAACTTTGTAGAAATTATTGATCGATTTCATATAAATTACTCTCCACGTCTAATGCCTGCCGTAGAAAATCAAACAATTGGTGCATCTAGTAAAGGTAAAAACTAAATTTTTTGATCTTTCGAATTTCAATAAAGTATTGATTTATTTTAAATTATTTATTTATTTTAGATTATTTATTGTATGGACGGCTTTATATACCAACCGGTAGACTTGAAGCAATGTATTCTAAAAAGTTTTCACCTTTAATGCAATGTGTTATTAGAGGTGTTAGCGAATCTAGGATGAAATCTGCTTCTCATGTAATTATCCATATTTTAATATCATTAAAATTGAACAAAATATTTTTATTTAAAAATTATTTTTAAAGTTATCTTAATAACAATAATGATAATAACAATAATAATAATAATAATAATAACAGTGCACAGCTGAGCTTCAATATGATACTGGAAAATGGTGTACTGAATTTTCTTTTACAACAGATGGTGAATTATTTGGTATAAAAGGACTTTATAATTTAGCAAGTCATACAATTGAACAAGTTAATATGGATGTAGAAAAAGATTCAATGATAATGACACAAGAAGTTAAAATTAATTCTGATAATAATAATATTAATGAAAAGAATTTTAACAATGAGTTATCAAAAATGCAAGAGGAAAATGAAGAAGTTGAAGCTTTGAAAGGAGAATGGTCAATTGGTGCAGAACTTTTTTATGGGGTGAGAGAAAGAAGCGGTGGAGGTTCGTGTATATATATAAATATATAAAATCAGGATATGACATCTGGGAATTTTTTAAAACAGAGTATTTCACAATATTTTGTTATGAAGGTTTTCGAAATATTATGATCCATTAACTTGTGGAGATTATGTTTTTCCTATTACTTTTTGTAAACTTTCTGTGATTGTTTTTTCTTTTCCTGCTTTAAATGCTTCTTTTTTTTTTTTTTTTTTGAAATATTATAATATTTCAAAAACGTTAATCTTCACAAGTTTATGACCATAATATTTTGAAATATTTTCAAAAACATCAACTTCTACAAGTTAATGCTCATAATATTTTGAAATAATTTTCAAAAATGTTAACTTCTATAAGTTAATGGAATTAATGGAGTTTAATGGAGTTAATGAAGTTAATGGCTGTAATATTTCAAAAACCTTCAAGTCCACCAAAAGTTTTTGAAAATCTTCAAAACAATATATTGCAAAATACTTTGTTTTAAAAAATTTTCTGACTTTCTACTTGATGGGAATGTGAACATATAGAAATGATATTTATAGTTACGTAACGAGTAAAATTCAATAATCAGTGTCAGCAGGAATTCGTTATCGCACTCTTCCACAATATTCGTTGCATTCACCTGTCACTGCAACATATATATTTAATCCGATAATGGGATATATGTCTGCTGCATTTGCTGCTCAAGTATCAGAAGATCTGTCTTTATGTCCACGATTTGGATTTAATATGTATAGTTATGAAAGTGATTTAATGATTGGAGCAGAGTGGTGGCAAAGAGAGAAAATAGAAGAGGACAAAAATCCAAATTCTAAAAGTGAAATTCAGGGTGTTGTTAAAGCCACTATTAGTACTGAACAGGTGAATTTTTAGTTTTTAATGAGACAATTATTATTATTATTATTATTTTGTCATTTTTGAAAATTTAATTTAATGTAATCTTTTTAAAAAATATAATATAATTTTTCATTAAGGGAATTAAATTATTATGGGAAGGACGTTATGGGAAAACCTTATTTGGATTAGGTTTAGTAGCGGATATTAAATCAGGATTATCTCCAATACGTTCCGTAGGATTACAATTCCAATATTTTTCATAATTAAATAAGTTTTAATGATGATAATAATAAATAATAATAAATAATAATAATAATATTTATATTTATATTTATTAAAATATAATATTCTTTTGAATATTTAGAGATCAAAGTGGAACAAACGCGTCAAAAAACTATTTATACTTTAAATTTCTAGCTTTTTTTATCTTTTTATTATTATTATTATTATTATTATTATTATATATATATATGTATATATATGATACTAGAAAAAAATATTTATACATGTATTATATTTCACACATTTTTTTTTTTTATTTTTATTGTTTTCTTTTTGTTGCGTTCAAAAAAAAAAAGTAATAAATGATTTTTCTTAAAAAATGAATGTGCAAGAAAAAAAATATATGGAAAGGCAACAAAAAACAAATATAATAACATATGATTCCCAAAAAATTTGTTTGGGAATAACTAAAAAAGAATCCCCACCGTAAATAGTAGCAATAATAATATATAAAAAATAAAATATATATCACAATGAATGAATGTAAAGAAATATGTATAGAGAGATAGAGAGATAGATAGAGAGATAGATAGAGAGATAGATAGAGAGATAGATAGAGAGGTAAAGAGAGAGGTAAAGAGAGAGGTAAAGAGAGAGAGAGAGAGAGAGAGAGAAAGGTAAAGTAGAAAAAAGTCAATGACCTGAATCAAAAATATCAATTGACGGTAATAAGACAAGGTTGGTGGGAATTTAATATGATATTATATTAATAACATTCATTAACTTTTGAATTTAAATATGAATAAAGGATTGATATTTTTATGGTTCAGGTCAATGAATATTGTTCAAGAGATAGAATATATAGAGAAGTAAAAAAAAAAAAGGTGAAGGTAAAAACGAATTTAATGAAAAAATCAAAATCGAGAATATTCATATAACATCAACATGTAAAAAAAAAAAAACAATAATAAAATAATACAACTTCTTGCTATATTTTAAATAATATTATAACAAGAAAAATCAAAAGAAAAAAAAAATATATATTTTTAACATAATGATGTGGGAAGATGTGAATGTTATAAAAAATAAACTTAATAATACAAGAAAAAATAAAGTCTAAATAAAAATCTACTCTTGGTTTTTCTTGTGTTACCGAAAAACTAAAAAAACTAAAAAAGTCCATTGATTTAGTGTACACAAGAATTTTTCTAATGAATAGGTTATTATATATTTTTATTATTATTATTATTATTATTATTATTAAATCATTATAATACAAATTGTTATACTTCATGAGGTAAAATATGATCAGGTCCACGATACAAAGCCATGATAACAGCAGCCACAAGAACAACTAAAAATCGACACCACCTCCAAACCCATCTTAAGAAATTATAAAATGATCTTAACCACCTTCGCCAGAACCATTCTCGTTTTCGCATTGCTAATTCATCATCATCATCTAATTCATCTAAGAAACTAAATTCATCATCTGATAAATAATCGAGTTGTGATATATCATCATCTCCTAAAGCTGATAATGACGGTGAGAATAATCCATCATTTGGATCTGTCAGCGCTTTATTATCTGTTTGTATATTTTTAAACCATTCACTTTCTAGCTCGGATAGTAAAGTCCTTTTATTTGTACCCATTGAACCGAATAAATTCAGACTATCCGGATTACTTAATCTTTTTAGGGCTTTTGACATCATCCCTCCTTCAGAGAATGAACTCGAACGTGATGGCTGTCGTGAATACATTCCTGATTGAACACTTGCAACTACAGCACGTTGTTCTTCTAAGGATTCAGTTAATTCAAGGATATGAAGTTCTTGTTCTCTATTAACTACTTGTAAAATTTCAAAACCATTTGATGCTTCAGCCAATTCATTGTATTGTTCTTGAAGAATTTCTAAATCTTGAGTGACTCGATTAAAACGTCTCTCAATTTCTGATTTAGCCCGTTCAACGGTATTATTCTGATCTTCTAAATCACGAATTTTCTGTAGTAATTCATCGACAATAGTATCATTAGCATTAACATTAGATTTGTTATGTAATCTCGTATTCCAGAATTCTGTTCTTGTTTTTTGAAGTAAACGACTGTTATCCTTTTCAAGCTCTTCGATTTTTTGTGTCGCCAAACCGTGTGCCTCTTGATAGTATTGAAGGTCTTGATCCATTTTTCTTAATTTAATTTTATTTGTCTTCTCACTTTCATTATATTCTTTTATAGTTTCCTCAAGTTTAGATTGTAACATTTGATTTCGATTTTCTAGATCCCTTATGTTTTCAAAGTCTTTATAAGTTAAACCTTGTTCACGTTTATTTTTCCTTGATAAATCTTGCGATATTAATGAATTTTTGAAATCAACGGAAGTACTCCAACCAGCATTTGAATCGGAATCACTTTCTTCAAAATCCGGTATATTATCAATAAGTGAAGACTCCAAAGCATCCCTTGGTGGTGCTATTGCAGGTATATTTGGTTTATCAGCCGATTGTGCTTGTAACATAAATGTAGTTGCCCTAATACGTTCACGTTGTAATTGTTGTGCTTGAATGGCTAATGTTTCACATTGGGATTTGAGGGCATCATATTGGGATTTGAGGGCGATGTTGTTTTCGAGTAGACTTTTACCAACTTCGGCGGCCAACATAAGATCTACACCGAACAAAAATATTAATTTATTATTATTATTATTATTATTATTATTATATATTATATATATATATATCTCATTATTTATCTCATTATTATACTATACTATTCTAAACTAAAATATAAAAATGATGATAGAATAAACGAAAAAAAAACTATTATATTATTTATATATTATTTATATATTATTTATTAATAGTTACGTATCGAATAAATAAAAAAAAATAATTACCTCTTTCTTTATCTTTTAATGAATTATAAGCCTCTTTTAATAAAGAGGTAAGTTCAGCTTGAGATTTATTCTGATTCCATGAACCGGAAAAGGTTGGTGAAGGAAGGCTACTATACGAAGGTGAGGAAGGGGAGGCAGGAGAACCTAATCCCGGATAATTCATATCCAAAGACAAATTTCCAATATTTCTCATATTTCCCATAATACGAGGTGAACTAGTAATCATCTTTTATTATTTTTATTAATGAAAGGATGGCTTTTATTTAGCTTTTTAATTTAGACTTATAATATTAAGTTCTTTAGAATGTTGATAAAAGGTTGAGAGATATTTAATAAATTTATATTCGATAAAAAAGGTTGTAATGATATTATATTTTTAGAGAGGTAAGAGATAATATTATTTTAGAATATTATTAGTTAAAACAATGAAGTTTTCTTTATGAAGAATAAAGAAAAAAAAAATTTCATCCAGAGTAAGTTACGAATTTATATAAAGGGAAATATCGGATGAATGAACCTTTGAAATTAAATATCCAAGTTTTTTTTTTTTTTTTTTATTATTGTTCACAGACAATATAAATATGTATATATTATGTTTATTAAAGTCCAAAATTTTTTTTTCTCCACTACCAGCTACCAGATAGTCGAAACTTTCTCGTATATTTTATAACGAAAGAATGTTCGTCAAAGGTAGGAAAGGGAGAAAAAGCTTTATTATTCTCTAACTGTACAGTTGAGTGCAAAAGCCTGTTTGTAACCCCTTGTTATATGAGACGATGCAACTATGCAACTAGATTAAGATTATTACATATTTTGATCCATCTGAAAATACAGTATCCAAATAAAAAAAAATATATTAAAAAAAAAAAAAAAAAAAAATATGAAAGCTGATTTAACTGATTAGAACGTTATTATGACAATGTAGTACTTTATTTGACAATAATTTCAATGTGTGTTATATATTCAGGTGCGTATTATATTTTTATATAATTCGAATTTGTATTTTAATTCAGATGTGTGGCAAAGTTGGAATGAATTAGTGGCAGAGGGAAGCCAAAAAAAAAAAATTGGCGTGGAAAAAGGGATGAAATTATTAATTTCGTTATCTCTTTTTAATGTAAATGATAATTTTAGGGTAATATTAAAAGATTTATATATTTCTTGATTTGTTATTGTTAATAAAAGTTTTTCAAATATTAGAAGAGAAGTAAAAGTTGAATTTTTATATGTTGTGGTTTGTATGATTGATATAGTAAAGTTATGATATCATTATGTATAGGATGCTTCATTCTCATGTGGTTTTCGTGTGAAAATGGGAACATTAATCGGATAAGTGTGCATCACAACCACAACCACAAAAGAAACTTTCATGTATCTTTAAACGACTACACAATCAAATAAAAATCCTGTATAAAAAAAAAATTTCGGTCGGGGAACTTTAGATTTTTAAACAAAAAAGGAAATTAGGGATTCCTATAACGGTGAATTGCACACGAAACAAGATTTTCATTTATGTATTCCATGTGTTAATGATCAGAATGTAGATTTTTTATTGTAGATTATTATTGTAAATTATTTATTTTGTTATATTTTATTTACTTTATTTATTTATTTTCGTCATTGTAAATTTCTTTTATTATTGTAGATTATTGTAGTTATTTATTATTGTAGATTATTATTAAGGAGAAAAAAGAAAAGGTGGAGATAATTTGAGTGTGAAAATAAAATAATAAAGGTCATACAGCAATAGAAATAGTGGGAGTGGGAATGTGAGAAGTGTGAAATATGATACGCGAGATACCTTTTAGGCAATTTTCAATATACCGACCTGCAAATTACCGATTTATTAACCTAAATTATTACTTATTCATTTATTCATTCATTACTCGTGTGTCTCGTGTATGCTATTAATAAACCTATTCTATTTTTCTAATTTTCAATGTTTTTTTTTTCTCTCTTTTTCATTTCAGAAAAGATCACAGATTTAATATTTTAATATATATATATCAGATATTTTTAATGATTTTTTTTTTTTGTTGTAATGCATGTATAGTATTTCCAGTTTAGAACGTGATCAAAACTTCTTTTTGAATGCTTCTCAAAAGTATTCTTTTTTTTTTATTAAAACATATTCTCACGTTAATTATTTATTATTTTGGGAATGAAATAGCTATATTTAGAATTTCGACTCCGATGTCTAGAAATCAATGATTCTTTATCGGTTAATGTGCTTCATCATCCACACATTTAATATTATGTTATCTTGATTTATTGATTTATTTTTCATTTGATAGATGAAAGGGTATGGCCACATGTTAATGGAGTAATAGATTCCAAAACCAATTTATTTTGACAATATAAAACTGACACGGTTCTACTCCTTGGATCCCTTTGGGAAGTCTTTGATGTTTTTAAGGATATTAAATACGTAAATATGTAAATAAATACGTAAATACGTAAATACGTACTGTAAATGATAATTTCAATTTCTGAATAGATGGTAATTTGTATAATCCAACTAATGGAGTCTTGGCACGTCGATTCACAATTTTTATTTCAGACAACTACGAACTTTAAGTTTCAATGAATATAAAATAATTATTTTACATCTCATATATTATTCTTTGTTATTTATCAATTTATTTAAATTTTTCTTTGACATTATATGAATCTAAAACATAATTAGTATACAAGCCGAAGTATCGGTGCATTATCATTAAAATTAATTAATTAAAATCTTTGCTTATGTAACCATTTTTTATATGCATAGTATTATGAATATCGTCGTCGTAAAAAGATAGTTTGTCTTTTTTTTTATCCAATACGAGAGCACGTAGTGAAACATAATAAGGCAGAATTTTCTTTCTCTAATCACCAAGTACCAAATTTATAATTTTACGTAATTTACGTAATAAAGTTTAAATCTAAAAAAAAAAAAATTAAAACTCTTTTATTATCATATATAAAATAAAATAAAACTTGCAATGCAAACTTCATAATACCATAAAATCGATTTTCCAAATCATCTTTGATAATCATACGAAAATATGCATTAAACATAATATGTTTGTAACAAAGGCCTTTGTAAAATTTATATTTGAAAAAAATCTCTTTTTTAAACTAACCACGGTAAAAAAAGTCTTAGCCTTAAACTGATATATCAGAGTATGAAACTTATTTGAATCAAAATTTAGTATAAACTAAGCTACGCAGAGTCGAGAAAAACATTTTAACGTATAAACTAAGCTACGCAGAGTCGAGAAAAACATTTTAACATGAAACAATTTCTTTTCCGTTTAAAACGTAACCTATACATTATATAAAAATAATAATATGTCTTCACGCGCTTCATCGCCTATTTCTCCACTTGATAGCGAACGTTTTTTTTTTATTATTAATTTTTACTGACGATAATGTGATATTATTAAAGTATTATATGGAGATTATTTAGATAACTTTTATCACATGGTATGGCGCAATCTTGACGTAATCATGAATTTTTGTTTTGATTTTTTGATTACAATTTTTTACAACATTCAAATAAAAAGATTATGTTAAAATTATTAGTTTCCGTAGGATCATCATACGATCTATCAACTCACTCTGTTATCCTTGTTAATGACGATGCAAACCCTTTATTCATAGATACACCATATTTTGTAGGTAGAATATGCGTTCGTGTGAGAGATTTTAAAGGAATTGTTCCTCCTGGAAAAACAAGGAGATCGTCAAGTCCTTATTTTGAAGGGAATAAAGAACAGTATTCAATACAAGTTCAAGGGAGGTTTAAAGGAGAAAAATGGACAGCCGATAATATCATCTTTGGTGTGGGTATCTTTAAAAAATGTTGATCGAACTTGTTTTTTTTTTTCTATTTTTAACGTGATTTGCGTTTCTTTTCAGAATGATTTTGATCGAAAAATTAATTTACCACCTATAAGTCGATTAGGCTTAAAAATTATGAAATGGATAGATCCATGCCTTGAAACTGATATTTATAATGATAAACCTTGGGCATATAGTCCCTTGCTTTATACTGTAAATGTTTTACGCGTCGAATATGATGAATTAACATCGGATCATAATAATTATTTGCCACCATGGCCTTCATATGATGGTAGACATATCAAGGAAGGTATCATTAATTCTTCGGATAATGTTTCTAAGCGTAAAAAATATTTCTCCTCTGAGGAAAATCGAAAGAAATTTGAAATTAACGAAAACCAAGTTTGGAATTTCGATTTTTGTAATTCATATATCGATTTCAATAATATTGCTGTGAAGGTAGAATTTAATGTCACTTATAGTATCACTTATATTATACATCTTTTCTTTAAGTGATTAACTGTATATAAATTATATAGATTCCTGGAATTAAAATTGGGATATTACAGTATTGGGATGGACAGGTGATTTTATTTATTTTTTATTTTATCTATTTATTTATTTTTTATAATATATATAAATTAAATCCAATATCAATCCTAATACATTAAATTTAATTCGAATATTGTCTTAAAATAGCCATTTCGTTATGTATGCAAATCAAGGGACTCATCGGTCGTATTTTTTGTGATCACGTTTCAATTGTTGGAAGTGAATGAAGAAGAAAAATTTAGTGATCCAAGTCAACAAAGTGAAGTCAGATCAACGAAAGTTTCAAATCAGTTACTTAAATATGATCAATATAATGAACCATCATTGACACCAAAATCTAGTGCTAGATGGGCATCAGTAAAATCACCATCATCTGTTTTGTTTTCTAATTCTCAACGTCAAATACATTCTATGCGAAATTCAATTCCATCTTCACCTTCACCTGGTTCAGTCAATATTGATGAAAGTAGTGAAAACGAAGAAGATATTGACATTTAATGGTTTATGGTTTCATGATGAATTAGAAATGTCTTCATTGTTATACAGATTTAATGATATATATATATATATATATAAAGATTAAATTTTTGTAAATAATAATAATAATAATAATAATAATAATACAGATCACGTGATAACGAAGTTTTGTATGTAATGGTGAAACGTTGCAGATTTATTTATATTTTTTCCAATGTTTACGGGATAACTTAAAAAAGCTAAACAAAGAGAACATCATTCAGCCGTTTTTGTTTATAAATAGAATAAACGAGTTCCTTACTTTTAAAGTTAACCTTTTCTAAAATTTTTTAACATATTTTTTCTTTTTCTTTTGGTCTTCATTTTATTTCAATATAAGTTTTTTTTTTTTTATTGTCATTGCTTTTACCGATTTATATTTATAATTCAGGTTAGTTAGATATTGGGTTTGATTTGTTATTTACTAAATAAAGCATTATATTAGTATAAACAATGTGGTTTGATTCTCGAGAAAAAGAAATTCTTTAAAGAATAAAATTGTAGATCATGTGATATATTCATAACGTGATTTGGCAGTTCGCTAAAAAATTTATTAAAAAGAAAATAATAACATAGTGGTGTCTGGCTATAGATAAATTATGAAGGTTTTCAAAACCCCTACACGAACAGCAGTCACTGAATGGATAGGTAAATTTTGACTTTGGAGATCTATAATAATTATAATAAAAATTTCTTGTAAAAATTTCTTGTTAAAATTTCTTGTAAAATTTTTTATAAAAATTTCTTACATTGATATTAATTTAGAACGGATGACATCATCCTCATATCAAGGTGAAGAAGAAGATTTGGCTGACGTATATCAATTGTGTGAAGTTGTGAATTTGCAAAGTTCGGGGTAACGACATTTCTTTGCATGATTCACATTATTTTCATGATTTTCATTATTTTTTATATGATTTTTATTTGGATTAATTTTTTTTCATCTTTATTGTTTTACTATCGGTAGACCCAAAGAAGCGACCAAAGCATTAAAACATATATTCAAATATGGAAATACTCATTCACATCTTCGTGGTCTTACTGTATTTACAAACGATTTTGAATAATTACAAATATCTTAATATTTGTTATCGGATGCTTTTAAAATTTATTATAGATTATTATTGTTTATTATAATAATTTCTTTTAATTATAGATTCTTAAGGCTTTGGTTGAGAATTGTGGCGAAAAATTTCAATGTGCGTACCTATATTCTTATTCTTATTCTTATCCTAATTATTATTGATTTTTCTTGAAATAATCAAAAATCTTATATTTGATTCATTTAGCACAAATTTCTTCACCAAAATTTATCGAGAGGTTAAAAATTCTTGCGAGTTCTCCGGTATATTTATATTTTTTTTATTTTGTTAATTATGAATAATTTTTATGAATAATTTTATGAATAATTCAGTTTTATTATTTATATTTCAGAACACCGATCCTAAAGTTTATAAAAGATTAATGATTCTATTTTCTCAATGGTCTGACGATTTTAAGAGTCAACCGAGCATGAATTCAATTGCACATTTACACGAAAACCTGAGTCATCGGAGTGGTTCAGTTAGGAGAGGCTCTGCGTCGTCAAAACCTGTATCACCACCTTCATCTTCGTCTTCTACAATTCCTAAGGAAAAGCGAAAAGTTACCAAGCCAATTAAGTCAAATAATAAGCCAAAAGTCGAGAGAGAAATTCAAACCTATTCCTCAGAAAAGGTTTTTTTTTAAAAATATAAAAATATATATATATATAATTTACCTTTAATAATCTTTAATGATATTTTTGATTAATTATTTGATATTTTCGAATTTAAGGTTAATGAAGAAATTGGATTGGCAACACAAAATGCAGCAAATCTTATAAATGTATTGACGTTATTGGGTTCAAATGCTGATAAAGATGATCCCGAACTTCAAGTAATAAACATAAATTCTTGTTGACATCAATTATTCATTAATAATTTTATATTAATTATAATTTTGTTATAGACCTACGTTCGTAAATGTAAATCTTCATCCGAACAACTAATCAAAATTATTGCTACAGTTACGGAAGGGACTATGCTTGGTATTTTTATATATAATTTATTCTAGATAGAAAAAAAAGGTTTATATTTAGTTTTTACCTTTTTTACATATTTCTTTTTATAATCTTGATTCCAAGGACCTTTATTGCAGTCGAATGATCAATTACAAGGTGCATTAGCAATATATTCGGATTTTGCATCTGGTGTATCAAAAGATAAAGAAAATAATGAATCTACAGAAATAAGCAAAAGGACACAAGCAGCAAAGGTAATCTTCTACATTGGAATTATTGGAAATTTTTGTACATGTTAAAATCAAAATTAATGTAAAATTAATTTCAATATTTAGATTCATAAGGATTTTGAAGATCTTATTGATTTTGATTCATTTTCAACTGCTAAAACTGTCAAGTAAGTAATAAATAATAACAATAATGATAATTATTATTATTGAATATTTATATTATTGGTTTTAATCAACTTTCTGTAAATTTTGATATTATTGTTTAAATCATATCCTAGTTCCTCTTCAAATGGTCATTTTGTTTATGAAAGTAGTTTGATGGATGATGATCCCTTTGCAGATCCTTAATAATCGGGGTAATCATTTGTTTTATTTTGTTTTATTTTATTTTGTTTTATTTATTTTATTTTATTCTATTTTATTTTATTTTAAGGTTGAAATTTGATATTTTGGAAGTAATAAAATCTTTTGGTTATATTTATATTTGTTGGTATATACAAATTTTTATTTATTTCTGTTTATTCTTGAGATTTTATCTTAATTTATATATTTTATAAATATCTTGATTTATAGATTTGTATTATATTATCTGTAAAATTTTCATTATTTTCAATTTTCAAAATTGGCAAAGTATTTTGTATTTTCATTTATAAAAAATTGTATATTAGTATTTATTTTTTTTTTATAGCATATTTATGGCAATTTTTCTGGGAATAGAGTTTTCAATACTGATTCTAAAATGCATTATATGAACAATAATGATATTCAAATAACACAGTTATTTAATAAATTAAACATTTTTATATTTACATTTAATTTATTGTACAAGAATATATCAATGATCTTTTCTCTGCTTTAAAATAGACAAAAATAAAAATCAAAATAAAAATATGATACATTAAAAAATTGCTGGAAACCAGATCTTATTGGCTTGAGGTCTATACGATTTGCAAATATTTTTCACAAAAATGGAAATGCATTAATTCTAATTAAAATACACTTGTAATCATTAAAATGTGACTTATGACTCGAATTTTAAATTATTTCAGAGTGAGCTGAATATTGAAGATTTAAATCGGTGTGAATATATTTCAATCCTTAACATAATATACAATGCTTAAAATATAAATAATATAAATACAATGGAATTTAAAATGTAAAAATTGTCAAATAAATTGTTTGATATAGAGATATGAAAATGATGTAAAACGTACAGAAATTATTGCAATCATATAAAAAAATAAAAATAAAAAAAGGTTTGAAATAAATTCAAAGAGTCCAATATACTAAAGTACTGTGTTAAAATCATTCATAGCGAGATAATATGTGAAAGTCAGGGATATCTGAAATAAATATTGAGATAGAATATTAAAACCTACTGATCCCAATTTATTTAAAAACGTAGAAAGATTGGTTCATTTCCCAAATTAATTTTAATAATAATTCATTCACGCTATAGCAGCCAAAACCACAACTCCACCAACTAATGCAAAAATAAGCATAAGACAACACATCCTATTACGCGCTTTCTTTTGATAGCGACTGGCAGTACTTAATTCATCTGCAGCATTTCGAACGTTTACGGCAATGTTTGTCACATTGCTTTCAATATTATCTATATAGAGAAATAAACAAATCATGTTTAAAAGATAATAATAATAATAATAATAATAACAATAACATAAAAATACAAAATAACTTTATACTCTTACCTAACATTGTTTGTTGTTCGGTTACTAAAGTTCCTAAATCCCTAAATATTTCATTAAGTTCGTTGATTCCTTGTTCGATCTCTCTTATCTCAACCTCTCGTTCAGCAATTAATGATTCATTATACTCAATCTCGTTATCTAATACTTGAAGCTGAAATCTTCGTTGACTATCATCTATGAGAGGCTGTTCTTCTGCGATCCCAGAGTCTTCTTCCTCATATTGATCGTTTCGAGCGTTAAGTGATTTTGCTTTACCAACGTATTCCCTTAATTTTTCTGCCGAGAGTCGCTGAACTTTTTGAAATTCTTGAAATGTCTTTTGAAAATCTTTGGATAATTTTTGTTGTTCAAGTTTACGTTGTCGCTATTATCATAAAAAACAAATATTTTATTTATTAACAAATTGAGTTTAAAATATATTATTAAAACTTTTTTATATATAAATCTTACATTTTGCCCATTAGAACCCTCAAAGTGAGAAAGTGCCTTAATTCCATTATTTGTTTCTTTTACCAAATCTCGTGTCTTATCGGTTAAAGTATGTCTATAATTGATATAACCAATTGATTAGATTAAACTTTAAAATTTATTGATATATAAACATTTTAAACATATTCAAGGCTTACAATTTTGCTCTCACATCCGGTGTGTCTTTTGATGTTCCGAGATAACTAACAAGCTTCTGTATTGAAGCCACATTACTTGTAATGTTAAAAATCTGCTGTGATATACTTTTGCTTAGACTTTTATAACGTGAATCGTCGTCTATATGTAAATAACGAAATGGTTTATAAGAATAAAGGTGCCAATATATTTCAAAACTGCCTTTCATAACCTACAAACGCTTTTTCGATAAATACTCCTACTTAATTTGAAGATTTTCAAAAGTTACACCACCTGAAAATGTAGTTGTAATTCCACCGTAGTATCTTGAACTACGATTATTGTGCACTCCTGAACCTCTTTCTAAATCGTTAAAAGACATTGTAAAGTTTGATGAAAGGTTTGTCTGTGTGCAATGGATATTAAGATATAAATTGATAAACCTTTAAACTAGAGGCAATAACTGGGTTTTTCGAAAGATTTTTTTATTTTTTATTTTTTATATTGATGGCGAATTGGGCGAATTGATGTGTTGTACAAATTTTAACTCCACAGAGAATATCTTTATTGAAAATCCTTTATTAATAAAGTAGATAGTTGTGTAACTTTATTCATAACAATAGATCCAAAAATGACAATAGATTAAAAAGGAAAAGTCAAAAGTATAATGAATCAATAATTTGATTTCATCATAACCATCATAAAGAAATACAATAAATAATTAATTATTTTTGGATTAATAAATCATCCACTGGTATAAAACAAAAAAAAAAGTATCTGTATGTGATAGATTTTAGATTTTCAACTTTAGCCCTCAATGTGGCTGATTTCTTTGTATATAGTTTTGGTCACACCGTTTGATCGGAAACTACATTGTTCTATGAAATACAAACATTCAACAACTTTAAAATACAAGTGCGGGAATCAAAAAGATTTTAGCTATTACACCTGTCTTAAGTATCAGAACAAATGAAACGAAAAAATTCTAATATAAATATGTATAAAAGAGTTAACTCTTGCCTTTAGAATCAAAACATCCAGAACTATTTCCATTTTTATCTTCTCTATCTACATTTCAAATGATTAATATCGTTTTTTGGAAAATTTAAAAGAAATTCCTTCTTCCGAACGTTAATATAGATCCAACCTAATATGAAATTAATATTTTTTTTTTATTAATAAACCCTTTTTTGAACAATTTAGAACAATTTGAAACATAATTTTATTATTACCGTAAGACCAGATAACTCAGCTGTCTTGAATATTGTTTTTAATGCATCATAATTATCTACTATAGCATTTAAACTTGCATCACTGTCCAATGAAAAATTTGTACCTGATACATTACTCGAAATAGTACTGGGATACAGATCATAAGCAATGAATGATATGCAAATTAGTGGTGGGATCCAGCATATGGATGATTTTTTTCGGATAGACGTCAGATATCCGTTCAATGGTCGTTGCATATAAAATTTTTATTTTAGTAAGTAAATCTCAAAAATAGTACTAAGTAATCTTAAAGAAAGAATATATTGCGTATTATATTAAAAGGACAGACCTATATCATTTAAATTGAGATAAATATTAGTAGTCAAAGTTCGAACGGGTAAAAAATATTAAAATTCCAATTTATCGTTCAATTTTGAAGATATAAGTCTGTGCTTCTTACAGTAGATACAATTAATTTTTATCTTTGAGATTACTTAGTAACATTTTTGACGTTCACTTACAATATAAAAAAATTTTATATGTAACAACAATCGGCGGTTTTGTACATAATTGTTATAATTATGTGTAAATTATATACAAAATCGTCAATCGTTGTTACATGTAAAATTTTTTATATTGTAAGTGAACGTCAAAAAACGGTCCTAAGTAACTTCAAAGGTAAGAATGAATTACGTATTATATTTAAAGGACAGACGTATAACTTCAAAATTTAGCGAAGAATTGTCATATAAAATTTTTTCGCCCGTTCGAAATTTAACGGCTAATAGTTCTCTCTATTTTGATTATATAAATCCATTATTTTAATATAATACGAAAATCATTCTTATCTTTAAGGTTTCATAGTACTGTTTTTGACATTTACTTATCAAATAAAATGTTTCATATGTAATCATCGATGATTATTTCCGATTCTTATATTGTTATAAAAAAAATTAATATTATATTGCGCGAAATATTTTGGATAATAATCACGGATAACCACGATAAATACGGATACAGATATCTGTATCCGTGATAATCTCACGGATTATCCACTATTCAAATTCACCAATAATAAGTAAGGCATCAAATCTTTGAATGGCAAATAGAATTGTTAATAAAAGAAACCAAAGAAAAACTCAATTGGTTATAACCTGATGTTCTGGCACTAGCATATCTTTATTATCCACAAAAGTTGTGGCTATATATGCGTTATAATCTTCAGAAAATTCAGAGTCACATAATTCTAAAGCGCGCCTTTTGAAAATCGCTCTTCTATTTGATGAATCCACTGTAAAAAAAATATAAGATTCAATTAAATCTTCAAATAATAATCGTATCAGTTCAACTGCTTTCATTAATAGCTGGCAAGTAATTTTATTTCCACATAGACCAATCATTTCTGGAGTTGCTTGAAGAACAGCATTAACAACTTCAACGCCTTAATAGTTGCCTTTAAATATAATTAGTCAAATAATATCTATATCACAAGATTTCTATTATGCCGATCAACGAGATACTCTGATTGGCTAATTTTTAAGATAATCAGTAAAATATATTACGCGTAAAAACTTTTTTCCTTATTTAAAATATATATTTCTTTAGTAGGTTTGGTCCCTGTAAGAGTCAATTTTTATTATTACTTAAAAAATCTACCAGAATTAATATATACACTTTACACACTTTATAAGAAAATTAATTTATTTTCATTTGTTTCCAAAGTTTTTTTTTTTTTTTTAACTTTAGCTTTCAGAATATTTTTCTTTTAATTTAACATTTTTTATAGTCTATCATCAACTTTCGTCTGGCATCAATGCATTACTATGTGGTGAATTCACAAATAATGAATGCGACACCATGTGCATGTTATTATTGTGCTCGCTCATTAAAAACCCGAGTTCAATATATTTTTTAATTTTGTCTTTATTTGTCTTTCTTATTGCTATTAAAAAACTTTGTAATATTAGTAAAAATACAAATATCTTTAAATAACTAGATCAGGTGATCAATTGGTCATGTATAATTTAAAGTGTTTAAAAGGTTTAAAAGAAAATAAATAAATTTATTATTAGAAATTTTATTTTGATTTATTATTTTTTTTTTTGAAATAAAGTAACTTTATCACTTCATTTGATGTGAGAAACAATACAATATTATGTCTATACACGACAGAAAAAATTGTCTTCCGTTTTTAATATAATAATATATATGAATAATATACGTATATACAAATATGTATAAATATGTATATATAATAAATAAATATAATTAACGATAGAGATCGGCAATCTGCATCTTTTTCGATAATTATTTTTTCTTAAATCGCGGTGAAAATTATTTCCTTTGTTCTCTATCCTTCTTCTCTTTCTGTCTCTTAATTAAAAGATAATGGCTTGGGATTCTTTCCATTAGATTCGATTCCTACAGAGATCCAGGCCTGGGGACCATTGCAAATATCAATCTCTTGGAAGCTCTTTAGGCTACTATATGTGAACGTCCTTCATATTTGAAATACGTAAAAAAATAAATAATTATTGAAATATTCTAATTAAAATTTTGAAAGATTTGGAGCATTTGACATGGTTACAGTTTTCCCTTAAAACTTGTCCAGTCGATTGTTACTGGTCTTAAAAATCATTTCAGTTTCTTTTCTATTGATTTCTGCATTATCAAAAAGGTCCCAAATGGTTTAAAGATATATTAAATATATTTCTTTAGTAGGTTCGATTCCTACATGGGTCCCTGTAAGAGTCAATTTTCATTATTACTTAAAAAATCTACCAGAATTAATATATTACACTTTACACTTTACAAGAAATTAATTGAAGCTTGTACAGGTATTATATTATTTGTTTGTCAGGCATTTTGTTATGTGAGCGAACTACTAACTACTTGTTTCTTTTTGTATCACAATCGATGGATCGAAAAGTTGATAGAATCGATAAATCGAAGTAGTTGATGAAATCGATGTATATGCGTGAATAAACAATGCTAATTAATCATACGATGTATATGTGTACGATTGATGAATTAACAATGCTAATTAATCATATAAACTTTTAATTTTGTAGTTTAGATTTTTTTAGATTTTATTAGGATAGATTTCTTTAGATTTTAGTAGGTAAGAATATTTTTTATTTTTTATTTTGTTTATTTTTTTTTTTGTTTGTGGATATTAAAATTGATTATTATTTCGTTTTATAGATAGTTTTCTTTAGGATAGGAAGGTGCGTTTCCTTTTATATTATTATTTTTTTTTTAATTAAGAATTTATTATTTATTGGTTATTTTCGATTAAAAGAAGTTTTCATGAATTAAACATTTAAATGTATTATTATTTCGCTTTATTTGTTGTCGACAAGCTTGTGCAGATTGTTTTTATTATTTAAGTGAACCAGTTTATTTTTATTGTTTTTATTTTGCAACGAAGTAATTTACTAATTAATTTTTATCATCTTTAATGGTTATTCCGCGAATAAAAATTTTTATTTACAATTTTATTATTTTTAAAATTTATTTGGAGGTTTTTTTGTAATTAATATTTTTACAAAGACTAAAAAATGCTACTTTACCAAAATATATTGGTCAAATGTGCAAAAAAAAAAAAAAATTTAATTAAAATAAGATTAAGCCCTATTTAACCAACGTCTATCTACTTTTAATGAATTCCACATTTCATCCGCTACGCATCTAGGTCCGCCAATAGTTGCATTTTTTTCTCGCTCTACCATTCGTGCTTTGATATTGCATAATGTACGAAAGGCTAACTTCCATGCACATGTTCCTTCTGGTTTGTAAGAACACATGATGTTATACAATGCTGCTGCTTTGAGATTTAACTCAAATATTGCAATCTCAGATTCAGAATCTGCCCTATCAACATGGTTGAGTATATTGCTCACATATTGATCAACGGGTGGATCATTATAAAATATATTTATGTATTTCAGATCTATTTCCAAAATTTTATTTTTAATGGAATTTTTTTTATCATCTCCGTTAGATGAATTTGATGAATTTGGATGATTCTTTTCTGAACTTAATACTTTGGAATAACTAGAATTATATCCAGTCAATATATTACGTTGAGATTGGACAATCAAACAAAGATCATTGTAAAAAGCGCCTCCATCATTCATATTTTCAGCTTTATGCATTTCTCGTTGCCAATAATTTCCAATATGTGGATCTATTTGAGCAGGTGTGGTATTTGAAATACGAAATTCAGGACCATTAACATTGTCTATTTCAATTTTAATAGTGTTACTGAGTTTATCCATTATTCCAGTGGGATTCTGGTTGGGTTGTGTATTGTCATTTTTCATCCAATGTGGAACTTTGAGTTTTCCAAATTTATTAGAATCTCTTTCAAATACTTCTGTTTTCAAGGTTTCTCCTTGTTTGGACACATCCAATAATTTAGCAAACATTTGTCCTAAATAAATAGATTCTTGATGTGATATACCATTATGTGATGACTGTAGTTTGTGATATCTATCATACATTCCTAATGGAATTGTATGATCAAGGAAGAACCCTTCTAATATTAATTTTTGTAATTTATACGTTTTTGAATTCACTATGGAATCTTGAACGCGAGGTAAATATTTTTCTATATATTCTGTGATAGTTTCTGTGGATTTTGTGAACGCGTTTTTTACTGCTGGTTGAATAGGACATACTGGCGTATTTTTATATTGAAGAACTACTCTCGGGTCCCAACAAACAAATACCTAAAAAATAATAATAAATCATTATTATAATATTTTTTTTTTGTTAAAAATAAAATTTTTTTTAAAATTTTAGTACCTTGTCACCATCATAATCACCACCACTCAACTTATCTACCAATGAACCTTCACCTTCTTTCGAAGACACGGGAAATATTAAAACATTATAATATTTATCAAGAAAAGGATTTCTAACTGCTTTGGCCCTCACAATATCTGAGGGCAATACACAAGGGTTTCTGGCCAATATGACATCTCCTTCAATTACTCCAAATCTCATCCCCGTTCTTTCATCAATTCCTGCATCTTTATCAAGCTGTAAAAATATCTCTCCTGGACGTAATCTTTGCGTTGGGTCTGCAATACATATAAGAACACGTGATAGGGACAATTCGATTCTATACTTATTGAAAAGACTTTTAAGTTGAATCTTTAAAACTTGTTTGAGACACTTAGCCAAAAATATACAATTTGAAGGTGTAAATCCTGCATCCAACATTTCCACGCACTGTTCAAAAATTGATTCGGGCCATCCAGAAATCAATGATGAAAAACCACAACTAACAGGTGATTCCCCGTCACCATGGAAATCTGTATTCATGTTATAATGTCTCTCATCTAATCTTCTGTTTGATAAATTACCTGATTCATACACCCACGCCCTCAAAGAACAAGGATCTTCGTTATTTACAATTTGGTTTTTGATTTTTTCAATATTCTCTTTTATTAATTCGATAAAAACATTATGTGGGACACCGCCATTTTCCAAAACTCTAATAAATTGCGCATTAAGTGCGCCAGCATTCTTGGCAGATGACACTACATGAAGTACCTCTAAGTTTCTCAAATGTTTATCATTTATTCCATTCAAATGATTTAAATTATAATTTACATGATATTTAATTTGAGATTTCCGCAGTTTAATCCAAATGTCATTAACATCATATTTAGAGCTTGGATCGAGATACCAGACTCCTTTAGAACCACCAATTCGACCTTGAATGACATGCGGAGTTTCTTCATAGCCCATGATTTCTGCGATTTTTTTCATAGCAGCTAATGAAATTCCTGCACACCCATCAGTGAAACAATGACCAAATTTATCTTCAATGTCTGGAACATCATATATTATTTGACTTGGTTCAAATGTTATTGTATTGGTGGTGTTGGAAAATGCCAATGAGATTCGGTTACGAAATTTTGATGTCGTCATATTAAGATTACGTTCATATCCTTCAAGTGGCAAATTATGATTAATAACATTCAAAATATTAATTTTTTCGAGATTGATCCCCGTCGTTGCGAAATAATATAAAGTATCTTCTTTTGCATATAAAAATTCATAAGTTCTTCCAGCAAGTAACAATGGATTTAATAGAAGACTTTTCAAACGTTCTCTACTTTGATCATCCAAAGTCTCAAAATCTGTCTTGACTTTAACAGATAAGAATCGTTCAGAAGAATAAATTCTATATAATCTTCTAGAAAAAGTTGTGGTCGGCGGATTTAGTTCTAATTTCAAATTCATGTCTTGCATAGTAACATCTGCCGAAAGTTTTACATGCAATTTTGAACCTTTCTTCGGGCCTGCGAAAGATTGATCGGACTGATCATTTATTTTATGCAATGAACTTGTGTAGGGTAATAATTTTCTTAGTTCCGATGGTAAATTCATTTCATAATCAATTCTTAAATGATATTGTATTTTAAGATGATTCTCGCAAATTATTCTTAATGAATCGAACATTTGTGTTTCGGAACGATTATTTAATGCATTCCAAACATAATCTGAAGCCTCTATTGGACCAAAAGGTTTCAATAGTCGAACAACTTCATATTGAAGCAAAAATGGTAAATTTTTGATATGATATTCATATTCTTCAGGTAAATCCGTTAAACTATGAGGTGATGCAAAAGGAACCCATGGACTCATTGGTTGTGGTTGTTGCATATTGATAGTCGGAATTATTGACATCATTGTGTCCACATTATCATCATCAATTTCAATGTCCTGATTATCCATCCAATCCTCGGTTTCAGAAAGAATCATCCATTTGTTAAACAGAACATTTTCAAATTGGTTTTGTAAAAAGCTGATTAATGCATTAGGATCATTATTTGGAAAATTATTTATATCTAAATCTAAACACTCCGTAGCGAACTCATTAATTACTTCATCTAAAGCTTTAATATCAATGTAAGCAATTTTTTCCAGGTAAGTTTTAATAATGGATGCCTCAAAAATTTCTTTTGCTTTTATATTAAATTTGGAATTTACGAATGCTACAATATGACACTTTCTCTTTTCTATTTTCTCAGCTATGTTATGCTTTTTCTTATCAAAACTCAGAAAAGAGTAATTTGAAGTAGCCATTTTTTTTTGTTCAAATTAAAGAATAATATGGAAATTATATTTACAAGAAATTAATGAAAATTATTCTGAAGGAATTGATAAACAAAAAAGTCAGATTTTAGAATTCATAATTTCGTCGAATTTTAATAAACAAATCTACGAAACAAAGAAACATCCAAAAGGGTATACTGCATTATGTTGTTTATTTTTATTTCCTTAGAGGGCATTTCTGAATTCGGAAATAATATCATTTTATTATACATGACCTATAACATCTTTAAAGTCAACAAGATTATTTGAGTGTTGAAAAATTACTATCATGATATATAATTATATATATTATACCCGCATTAATATACATTAATGTATGCTTACACTATTGTTGTTATTATAAAGTTCGATGAAAATGTCATCGATTTTAAAATTAAAATAAAAACAATTTTTAATTAGGATTATAAATTTTCATTAAATCTAAAGAAAAGATGTAAGGAGGTTCTCTCTATGAGGGTTTTTTTAGCAAAATTCACATGAGTCAAAGATCGGACCTGATATGGAATTATAGAAAAGCAGTTAAAACGTCCAAGTACTTCTGTGTGACCTCCTTCAACAGGCTTCAAACCAGGTCGGGCGTATAACTCGGAGTCAATAAGACAAGTCTACTATTGAATTGATCTGCACAAAAAGCATCCTTGATTTTTTTTTTGCATGCTAATTTAAACTTTAAAGAATAGTTTTTTTGCAATTTATGGTTTGTTGGATTTGTTGAGTTCGTCTCATTGAAGTGTATTTATTTGAGTTATATTGATTAAGATAAAGATTTAAAATAATTCATCATTACAATAATAATTTATAACATGTAATGAATTTTGCGAAATATTAATAGAGTTATAAACATGATTTTTTTTTTTTTTGAAAAGGAAGTATAAAATAAATATCAAAGCAATTTATAAAGAAGAGAAAATTAAAATTAAAATACCAAATATTTAAAATATCCGTTTTTAAACCAGTATCAATAGTTTAACTACAGAATATTAATTTAATATACGAAATTCGGAACCAAGTTTTCCCATAAATACCATAAATATTAACTAAAAACATATGTATTATTCAATAGTTAGTCCCTGTTACATAAAATTTGAACTATAAATTTACTATTAAAATATTAAAAGTTTAAAAGTACTAAGCTATTTAAGCTCCGTCATAGAAGGTCAGCAAAAATTTTTAGATTTTTTAGTAATTTTCCAAATAAACTCGTGATAGACGTAACGCGTATGGCGTCATATGACACCAGATGACGTATTATATTGAAAATTAAACAGTCTTTCTAAAATGTCGTCATCGTAATGAGTTAAAAAATATAAAGAGAAGGATTTAATATCAACGATCGAAACAAGAACAGTAACAATACTAACTTTCTTTTTAACAATAGGTCCGCGTACATATATCTTGCTTCTTCGTTTTACGCATAGTCCAGTGTGCTGTTCCCATATTCCGTATTGCTTCTGTCCCTTTGTGATTTTTATTTTATTTTATTTTTTTACTTTGGGTGCTTTAACAAACGACAATGCTACGATGAAAGAAAATTTTTTTTTTACAGTAAAATAAATATAACAAATATATTATTTATTTCTTGGTTATTTTATTCAATAAAGTAATAAAGATGTTTTATTTCTTTATTTCAAATAAAGTTTACAAAAATAAAGTTGTGTATTTGATTTTAATAAAATAAAGTTAAAGTTTCAAAACTTTTAACAATATATATTATATATAAACGAATTACAAATTACTTTTTATGGGTATTACACTAGTTTATAAAGGATTTTTTTTATAGTTTTTATTTCAGTAAATCGCTGCAATATTCGTATTACAATGAATTTTTTTTATTATTATTTTTTATTTTTTTTTTTTTATTTTTTTACATTTACTTGTTCTATAAAAGATTATTTAAGATAATTTATTTCCATATTTTTAAAAATGACTTCTAATAAAAATTTAATCAAAAAAGATAATGAGCAAGATATTTTTAATCCAAAAACTATCGAATTTGAATTTTTAGGCCCAATTGGAGCATTTTTAATGGTTACATTTCTTCCAATTCTTTTATATATTTTATTTTTAGGTTGTCAACCTGATGGTTGTCCCTCTCCTATTCTTATACAATTTCTTATCAATCCCAAAAATGTTACTTCATTACTTACACTTAACAATATTTCAGCTTTATTTGATGGTAAAGCATTTGTTGCATATATAATTTATTTAATATACTTAGTTTTAGCATTCCTTATAATACCAGGTCGTTGGATTGAAGGAACACAACTTCGAGATGGTACAAGATTAAAATATAAAGAAAATGGATTTAATTGTATGTTATTAACTTTAGTCATAATTGAAATTACATCTTTAATATATGGATCTGAACCACTTTTGTTTATCAGTAATCATTTCATTGGATTGGTTACTGCTTCTATAATTGTTTCATTTGTGGTGGCATTTTATGTATATTTTGAATCTTTCCGTGAGGGTAAATTATTGGCACTTGGTGGAAATTCCGGAATTTTTATTTATGATGTAAGTTAGTTGTTATATTTGTTATATCTGTTATATTTGTTATATTTATTATATTTTTTATATTTGTTATATTATATTATATTTTATTTAAATAGTTTATGATCGGTAGAGAATTAAATCCACGTATTGGATTTTTTGACTTCAAATATTTTGCAGATCTTAGACCTGGTATAACAACTTGGATTATTATTAATATAGCTATGACAGTTAAGCAATATCATGATTTGGGATTTGTTACTAGTTCAATGTATTTAGTTTTAATTTTCCAAGGATGGTATTGTATTGATTCAGTTTATAATGAAGTAAGGATTTCAAAATTTTATATTCATTGTTTTCTTTTTATTTTCTCTAATTTTTATTGAATTTTTTAAAATTAATAGTCAGCAATTTTAACAACTATGGATATAATATCAGATGGATTTGGATTCATGTTATCATTTGGAAATTTTAGCTGGGTTGGATTTTTATATGCCCTTCAAGCCAGATACCTTTCACTGCATCCTGTTAATCTTTCTTTAAAACATCTTTTATTAATTATTGGACTTCAATTAATTGGATATTTTATATTTCGAAGTGCTAATAATGAAAAATCTATTTTTAGAAATGATCCAGAAGATTCAAGGGTTAAACGTAAGTTTTATTTTATTTTTATTTTTATTTTTATTTTTATTTTTATTTTTATTTTTATTTTTTATTTTTATTTTTTTTATTTTTTATTTTTATTTTTATTTTTATTTTTTATTTATTTATTTTAAACGATATTTGAATTTTTAGATTTAAAATATATAACAACTGAATCAGGATCTCGTCTGATCATTTCTGGATGGTGGGGTAGAGCTAGACATATAAATTATTTGGGTTAGTAATCTATTTTTTTTTTTTCAACGAACAAAAATTTCATAACAATATTTCTTATTTATAATTAATTGGGATAATTAGGAGATTGGATTATGGCATGGGCATGGTGTCTTCCTTGTGGTAAGTCCATGAAAATTAATTAAATTTATTAAATTTATTAAAATTTTTAATTTACATAATTTACATCTTTTCTTTTAGGTTTTGATAATATATTTCCATACTTTTATGTAATATATTTTACAATATTACTTATCCATCGAGAATTAAGAGATGAAGAAAAGTGTCGAAAAAAATATAAAAAAGATTGGGATATATATTGTGAGATTGTCAAATGGAGAATTATACCTGGTAAGAATAAAAATTCAAAATTCATTCTAAAACATAATAATATTAAATATTATAATATTAATATTATTATTTTATTATTTAGGTATTTATTGAAGAACGTGTATGTATATTTACGATTACATTTATAATTAATATATAATATGAAAATAAAATGTTTTGCTCTCTTTTCATTCCAAGATTTTTCGCTTATTAAAGACATAATTTTCATTCTTTTCTTTTTTTTACATTCATTGAACTATTATTATTCAAATTCCCAAAGTTCCATATTAGAGATATATAAGAAGAATAATAATATATATATTATGTATATTATGTATATTCTTGAAGAAAAAAAGAGATAGAGAAGTCTAAATGGATAGATTCCCAAAGAAATTATTATTACATGTATATCTATTATTATTTTTTTCTATTTTTTTTTTTCTATTTTTCTACAATCTTGAATGCTTCAATTTCTTCAATAATAAAACTATTAGTATCCATAATTCTATCTTTATATGAATGCATATTACATGTGCCAATTGAATGTTTTATTACCAAATCACTTTGTCCAAATTGTGCTCCATTATTTGCATTATCGTAAACAGCATATTCTGCATTATTTACTCGACTAACTTTAACATTAGCATTCGTTTTTCCATTACCAAATGTAAAAATAAAACTATCAAATGTATTTGTCCAGGTTGGAATACTTCGATAAATCCATCCACATGGATTATATCCTCCGATTATTTGATTTGATCCTTTAACTTTAATTATCACAACTGCCGATCCTTGATTATTAACATATCCTCGAAAAATTTCATCTTTAAATCCATGAAGTGTTCCTCGATAAAGAAGTGTAAAATCATATGGAATCTTGGTAGTAATAATTCCATGTTCGTCTTCACTTCGATTAATCCAATTAGCTAAAATTGCTGCATGTTTGGGTTTAATAATATTAGAATCTATCTGCCAACTTCCCATTCGAGATGTTAAATTTATTATAGTTTTAGGTTCCGTTCCTGCCAAATGATATGACATAACATCCTCATAAACATTTCGGGGAAGAATTTTTTTGTATGGTCGAATCTTATAATAAAAATCTCTAGATGAAATCTCAAAAAATCTTATAAGTGGTATAAATGACTCTAAACATTTCTTTAATAAATCAAAAATTTTTTCTGACCACTTAGTAACATCTGTAACTACTTTATCATTATTCATGGAAATTTGTGCAATTCCCCATTTAATCAGATGTTCCCAAACTTCTATCTCATCAATTCGAAGTTCATCTCTTAAAAGTAATCCATAGAGAATATCCCTATCCAATGTTTGGAAATTTCTAGAAAAAAAGAATGGTTGAGGATTTTGACAAATATATTCTAAACAATGATCTTGTAATTTTTTACATCGATCATGTTTAATGACTGTTTGTAAGACTTGTATAATATTCGTTTTTAACCAATTTGCCTTTTCCTCAATTAAATGGTCTTGACAATGTGTGATTAGTTCATCTAATAGTAGTTCGTCAGATGCAACTAAAAGGCCAAGAATATCTGAACCAGATTGTTTATCTAAGTCAATAACTCCTGCATAGATAAATCTAAGGATTATTTTTTATTTTACATAATGTTAAATTTTTACAATGTTAGATTTTATTTATGAAAATTATGCAAGATAGATAGAATATATAAAAAAAATATATATATAATAAATAAAAATAAGATATATATAAGGCATACTTGAGCATCATAGCAAATACCATCGGCGTAATATTTGGTTTATTAAAAATAATAATATTATCTTTCTTGACCACCCAATCACTAGAAAAAGCTCTCATGAAATAAGGTGACCTGGCTCTCAAGATATTGGAGTGAGCATGAAATTCTTTTATATTTGAACCTTCACCAACATGAATGCTAACATTATAATCATCGGCATTATCAAGTAGTTGAGAATAATCTTGAGAAAGGTTTGAAAAAAATTGTGATGGCATAATAATATTTTTTTTATTATTTAATAAATTTAATGATTTTAATTCTCACGAACAAAAATTTTAAATACCAAATTTTCGAAATGATGGACAATTTATGCTTATTAATAATAAATGTATTTACTGCGCCCTAATTTAGAATAGATCACGAGATTTCTTTATTATAATACATTTATTATGTTTTCGTTTACTTGTTCTGTTTGTTTCGTTTTTGAATTAGACCAAATCAAGAATAAAACTAGAAAATTTATAATAGCCCAAAAAAATTCAGCCCGAATTCTCCAAAATTATAAATTATTTCGAAGATCTCAGTGATTAATATAAATTAATATGAATAATTAATTTCTAACGAACGATAAATATATTAAACTTCTTCTTTGTTTAATACTTCAAACAATGAGATGCGATGATGCGTAATACTACATAATATGATGCATGATATTACATTAATATTTAAAATCCTTACCTTATCTACACTTAAAAATACATTTTATAGGGATTATGAATTTTGTTTACCTTGATGTTTAATCTTTTTCGGGAAATTTTCGTTCGAAAACACTACGTTTGGAAGTTAAGTTTTTGCAAATCCCATTCTTAATTTGTTTTAAGTATATATTTATTATTAGAATTGTATTTATATCAATTTTTCGAATACGTTAATTATTTATTTTATTTATTAAGCTCATTACCGAAAATTACTTTGCAAAGACAGAATTGATACATAATGATTTTGGTACTGAAATTACTTTTTTTAAATATACTTAATGCAATAACTTGGACTGCAGAGTATGGGATAATTAATTGAGGTTATGTCCCTATACTAGAAAATGGAAACCGAGTCCGTAGAAATAAATAGTTTTTATTTTTATTTTTTTTTAATTAGTCAGAAAATAAAAATTTCAAAATCTTCCTCACTTTTTGTATTCTTTCATCTCGAATGGAGTCACAGGGAATCAATCTGGTGTCACAACTGAACCCTTGTGTGATTGGCATTGTGACAATCAGGGAACTTTTTTTTTTTTCATCATACATTTTTTCAGGCTTGTTTAAGTCAGCATGACGCATAACTTGCCTTCTGGTTTCCACCAAACCCAATAGTACGTCTGGCGGGTGAAGGGTATGTACATAGAAAATAAAGAAAAGAAATGAAAATTCTTAATTACCATTGGCCTGATAGAAAAATGCGAAAAAAAGTAGTGACATGAATCAAATATCTCCAAATATTTTGACTCCAATTTATATAATTTTTCATAATTAGGTTAAAAAAAGCTTTTTGGTAATATAACCTACCCTTAGGAATAAAATTTTTGCAAGAAAAATATTAGAGCGAATGATAATTATTTTAATCTTATTAGGACGATAAATTTGCTAGGTTTGCGTTTTCCGATTTTATATATTTTGTAATCCATTTTTTTTTAAAAAAGGTGTAATGATCATATCAATGAACATTCTTGTCATTCTTGTGAACGTTATTCATTTAGTTTTTATTATATATCCAAATGTGATCATTCAGGTTCATTCTAAAAATAATTTCTTTATTTTAATACTCATTTTTCTCACTTTGTTTATAAATTTAAATTCTATAAGTAAAGGGTCAAACACATATAACTCTATCAGCGTCAATGTACTATATAATATATCAACTATGAAAATTGCAAACCAAATTTTTTAAAAACACCAGAATATCAACTGAATTATTCCTTATTATAATTATGATTTTGCTATATCGAATTCTTTCATAGGGGAGACGCAAATAATTTTACCAAGTAACAAGTACAGGATCAACTCAAGAATTGTTTTGATATTACGATAGTTATTCCAGAGCACATTCGAGAATTGAGCCTTATAGAATAAATTTAAAACTTTAAATGCATTCGAAATTTCTCAATAAATTTATTTTTCCGATGCATTTAACTCCATTACATGAAAAATTATTCTTGATAAGATGTATGACTTGTTTATTGATACAATAAAAATTAAAGTACATGATTTAGCTTGTAGCCGTGATACACAGATCTGTTTTAAAGTGTTTTTACACTAATGGCTACTGACCTCACCAGTTTTTCGGTTGTCTAAATTTTCTATGCTAACAATGATTTTTTGACCTAATTACTGGATTGAATAGTCAAATATACTTGTGTAATATATTCAGAAATAAATAAACATTAACCTTAGACTGAATAAAATTGATACACGCACACTAATAAATGCTCAAACTTTAACCACTGAAACTTTATTAATGGAGCAATGATATCTTAAGTACACATTGAAAATATGGATACATTTTTTTTCTATTCCAATTGACATTACTAAACTAATTACCCCATGATTTCGAAGCAGCACGATATATAACATCTTCTCTTTTTTGTTGTAGGCTCTTCTGGAATAACTCAACTTATTTAATATTTAATATTTACATTTTAATGCTAGCTTTAGGTTCTAAAGATCGAAATGTTTTTTTGGTTTAGAAATCTTTATGTAAAAAATTATGTCGCACGAAAAACGGGTGACATCATATGACAAAATATGTAAATTTATACTTCAATCATTTCTTTCCCCTGTTATGACTTTTACAATGGATTTATAATAATTAGATAAACATTCAAAATTCCCAGAACTAATAGTAAAAAGTCAAAGTAAACTTCCCAAATTTGTCAATTTCTTATGATCTTTGCTTAGTAATTTGGATTTCTTGTGTATTGATTATATCATTTTATTTAATATCACTTTAGATCATGTCACACTATTAAAAATATTCCTAATATAGTGAAATTTCTTAGTATAAGATATCACAAATTGGTCAGAAACTGTATGTGATATTTTATTCCAATAATTTTGTGTATGTGGCTATATAAGTGAAAAAAATTCCTTGTATCTCATGTATCTCTTTCCCTCTCTTTGGGATTTTCCTCGTCTCCTTTTAAATTATAATTATAAATAAATAATTACTACCAGTAATATTATCAGAAATAAATTACCACTAATAAATCATTTGTAAAATTTGTAAATTAATATATGGTGCGAATGTGTGAAATTTAAAAATTTAATAAGGTACAAAATGCGAACTTTTGAATTATAAAAGGCTTACATATATTAAATAGAATATATTTTTTATATGGCTTATTATTTCAAATATGTATTCATTTAAATCGTTTAAAATCTAAATTGCGAAATAAATTTATTTATCCATTGTACTTATTTACGCCTCAATAATTTCTTAGCTTATCGAAACAGCATTATTACCTATTACCAAAAATGGAAGAAGGTTGGGGAATTGCGTCCAACGTTGATTACGAGAATTCATGGCCGATCGAAAAAACTACCCTTCCTCCTAGGGAACAGCCAATTAGAAAGCAACCACCTTGGGAACAGCCGCCTAAAGAACAACCGATTAGAGAGCAACCACCTTGGGAACAGCCGCCTAAAGAACAGCCGATTAGAGAGCAACCACCTTGGGAACAGCCGATTAGAGAGCAATCACTTTGGGAAAAACCGCCTAAAGAACAGCCGATTGATGATGATGAGTCGGTGAGTTCTTTATACTAATTTTTATTATATTAGTATTATATTAGTTTAATTGTTCCTCTTTGGAAAAAAAAAATTAATTTTTATATTATGTCAAAATAAAAAACATAAAATACTTTTATAGAATGTTGGGTTACAAGAAGTAATACATAATTCTTTTGCTACTCGCAAAATTGAGAAGAAATTAATTGAGCCATCCTCAAAAGATTCAGATCTACAGTGGGCATTAAAAGGTTAAAATTTGTTCATTAAAATGAATATTTATAAAAGTGAATTAAATTAACAATTGATTGTATTTGAATAATTAGAAGACCGATTGGATGATGCTCAATTTGTACTTTCGTCTCCCGAGCCTACAATTTCGTCAGTTTCAAGGAAAGGAACTGCTGACAAGGCGACACAAACAAATATAAATGAAATTAACGAATTAAATAATGTGTTGACTCCTTTAAAACCAGAATCATTCGCCGTTGCGCGAAAATATTTACTTGAATTTGGGTTGATATTAAAGGGCAAGAATGAACAATCAATCAGTAAAGTTCAGGATCCTTCCAGTCCTAAGCAGTTGTGGAATCAGAAAGATGCACAGCGTGAGATGTCCGTTGATAATAATAAAAAAGGTGAAGCATTTTTACGTTCGCGTGAAGTTTCCTCAGATAGTACCCGAAAGCAGGGATTACAACAAAACACATTAAGAAATTGGAATGCACCATCTGATAAGAATTTCTTTAACCAAGAACCTTGGCAAAATCAGGATATAAAATCTAAGTCACCATCCTATAATAATCAAAGTCGAGACATTACTTTTACCAACAAACCTACCGATTCCTGTGATGCATCCGTACTTCCCACTGAAAATCCACTCATCAGCGAACCTTGGTGGGACAATGACCAGATACGAAATAAAGAGGCACGTGATACTCACCGGGCGTCTTCGCCAGGAATAAAGTCCGATCATGTACACCCGCAAGAACGTTCTTTTGCCAAGGATTCCATTTCAAATAGAGCTCTTTCCGAGAACTCTCTTAATAACGTGTCGTGGGATAGAAAACAAAATTTAAATCCTTCAATTTCTTCCGTACTCCCTCAAAAATCAGAACAATGGGACTCTAATCCTCCAAACGATTCAATTGCTCGAGAACCTTCTCCCGAACAGTGGTGGAACCAACAAAATTCAAATGCGAAGAGTCAAGAACCACGTGGAGCACCAACATCAAAACCGCCTAATAAACAAGCTGTAATGCCTGATTCTTGGGATTCTTCTGTACTCCCTCAAAAAACGGAACAATGGGACTCTAATCCTCCGAAAGATTCATTTACTAGAGAGCGTTCTTCTGAACCGTGGTTGAATCAACAAAATTCGAAGAGTCAAGAGCCACCAACAATTACAACGCCTCCTTCAAATAATGTCGAATTTCCGGTCGTCACTAATAAACCGATAGTAAAGCCCGATTCCTGGGATTCTCCTGTACTCCCTCAAACAACAATGGTACCATGGAACTCTAATCTCCCCAAAGATTCACTTGCGAGAGAACATTCTTCTGAACCGTGGTTGGATCAGCAAAATTTGAATGCGAAGAGTCAAGAATTACTTGGAGCACCAACAATTAGAAACTCATCAAAACCTCCTTCAAATGTAAATAATGTCGAGTCCTCAATCGTCACTACGAAACCCGTAGTAAATTCCGATTCGTGGGATTCTCCTGTGCTCCCTCTAAAAGCGGAACCATGGGTCGCCAATCCTCAAAAAGATTCGATTGCAAGAGAACGTTCATCTGAACCGAGGTGGAATCAACAAAATTCCAATGCGAAAAGTCAAGAACCACTTGGAGCAAATTCATCAAAGCCTCCTTCAAATAATGTTTATAATGTTGAGTCTCCGATTGTCACTAACAAACCGATAGTAAAGCCCGATTCCTGGGATTCTCCTGTACTCCCTCAAACAACAATGGTACCATGGAACTCTAATCTCCCCAAAGATTCACTTGCGAGAGAACGTTCTTCTGAACCGTGGTTTGATCAACGAAATTCGAATGCGAAGAGTCAAGAATCACTTGGAGCACCAGCAATTACAAATTCATTAAAGCCTCCTTCAAATAATGTAGAATCCCCAATCGTTACTAAGAAGCCTGTAGTAAATTCCGATTCCTGGGATTCTCCTGTGCTCCCTCTAAAAGCGGAACCATGGGTCACCAATCCTCAAAAAGATTCGATTGCAAGAGAACGTTCATCTGAACCGAGGTGGAATCAACAAAATTCCAATGCGAAAAGTCAAGAACCACTTGGAGCAAATTCATCAAAGCCTCCTTCAAATAATGTTTATAATGTTGAGTCTCCGATTGTCACTAACAAACCGATAGTAAAGCCCGATTCCTGGGATTCTCCTGTACTCCCTCAAACAACAATGGTACCATGGAACTCTAATCTCCCCAAAGATTCACTTGCGAGAGAACGTTCTTCTGAACCGTGGTTTGATCAACGAAATTCGAATGCGAAGAGTCAAGAATCACTTGGAGCACCAGCAATTACAAATTCATTAAAGCCTCCTTCAAATAATGTAGATTCCCCATTCATTACTAAGAAACCCGTAGTAAATTCCGATTCCTGGGATTCTCCTGTACTCCCTCTAACAACAGAACAATGGGACACCAATCCCCCAAAAGATTCGATTGCAAGAGAACGCTCATCTGAACTGAGGTGGAATCAACAAAATTCCAATGCGAAAAGTCAAGAACCACTTAGGGCAAATTCAAAACCTCCTTCAAATAATGTTTATAATGTTGAGTCTCGGATTGTCACTAGTAAACCTGTAGTAAATTCCGATTCTTGGGATTCTCAAAAAACGGAATCAAGAAACCTTGCGCGAGAACGATTTCCTGACAAACGTATAACCTCTAGTAGTAGAGTGTCCGAGAATTCTCTCAGTCGTGAACCACGGTGGGGTCAACATAATTCAAATGCGAAGAGTCAAGTACAGCCTCAGATTGTTTCTACTAATAAACAAACTAATAGACAGGATTCCCGGGAATCCTCATCTATACCCCCACCAAATTCAGACTCATGGAACTCGAACCCCACGGCTTCCGCAGGTACCGATAGTTGGCTTCAACAGAAAGAATTAATTGAAAAGGAATTAAGGGGGGAAATCCCCAGAAATAATATTTCAGCCACATCGACACCTTCTAATAAAGAAGTATTAAAATCAACAAGCGAGGTATTCAGCAATGTTGAACCTCAGGCCGCTAGAGAACCGGAACCATGGGAAACCTCTACATATAAAAAATCAGAGGAACTAGAACCTTGGGAGATTGATAATCGTGATAATCGTAATAATCGTAACAAGAACAACAAACCAGATTATTTCGAGAATAACATAAAAACAGATTATTACGGGAATAGCAAAAACAGATATGATTATTCCGGGAATAGAAGTCGTTCCGTGTCTACTGATGAATTGATGCGACGCGGCATTAATTGGTAAAATTTGTAAATTATAGTAATAACTGGAGACGAATGTGGTGAATATACAAGATTTAATGCAATTTTAATCCTATCATTTTATTATATTAGCTATAAATGCAAGAGTTACGGTCATCGCGCATCCGACTGTCCTGGACAAAATGTCCAAAATGTTGATAATAACTATGGGGAAAAAAGGTCTGGTAGAGGGGGAGCTTGTTATGAATGCGGATCTTCTGAACATATGGTTTCTAAATGCCCACTTAAATCACACCCAAAGCCCAGTCCATGTAAGTAATAATATTTTAAATATCATTAAATGCTTCATCCAAACCAAATAATAATGTAACAATATCATTTTTAGTCACTGACCCTACACCTTCAGGTATGTCACCTGAAAAAATTTGGGATAACATTTTGAAAGCCGAAAGAGAAAATGAACCAGATGACTTCCGACACTGGATAGAAGAATTCGCAAAAGCAATGCCCGACGAAACCTTTCAATCGATTGAACGTAAACTTAGAAAATGCGAAAGCGCAGGTAGAATTATTGCATTAAAGCGCGAGGAAATTCCCTCTTACAAATGCTTAGTGGATCTTAAAGGCAACACGGGTAAAAAATACGTTGCACAAATAATATTATCTACATCAGTTCGGCTTCCGCGTACAGCCGGAACAAAAGCTAGTAGTGAAGAAGAAAATTTCAGATGGTTAGCGGATGCTGGTTTTATGGTTGACGATCCTACTCCATTTTGCACTAACTGTAAACAGAAAGGACATTATACCAGGGATTGTATAGAACCAAAAAATCAAGTCGAACGCACCACTCTACCTTGCCAACATTGCGGATCATTCGAGCATATGACAAAATATTGCACAAATCGTAGCAATAATAGCAATAATAATACAAATCGAAACGATGTTCGATATAGTAGCAACAGTTATGACAATAGGGATGATAGTCTGATAAATAACAATGAATTTGAGGATCGTAGTAGGAGGAATGGTTATCGTGGTGATAAGGAGGCGTATCGCGATTCAAATGGTTATGAACAAATCCGTGATACATACAACAATAATTATTCAAGAAAAAAAGACGATGGCCAAAATTATAATAATTATTCAAGAAAAAACGATGAAAGTTATAATTATACAAGAAAAAAAGACGATGGTCAGAATTATAATAATTATTCAAGAAAAAATGATGAAAGTTATAATTATACAAGAAAAAATGATGATGGCCGTGGTTCTTACAATAACTTTGATACAAATTGGGAACACCCTCGAGGTGAATATCAACGTAATAAGGAACCTTATTCATCAAGGAACGAAAAAGAAAGGAGATACGACACTCAAGATAATGGCCGTCGGTATAATGAAACAGCCAATGAAAATGTATGGAATAATTCTGTTGAGGAATCACGTGGTCGAAGCACTCAAACAAAAGAAGTCTCGTCGTCGTCTCGACCAAATCTCGATAATGTTCCGGCCTGGTGGTAAAGAAGAAAATAAGAAATCTTTTAAGACACATTCATTGTCTTACGTTATCGTTCATATTACTTTGATAAAGAAGAGAATGTTATTACGATAATAGTGATTAAAGAATAACTATTTTAATTTTTAATTTTTAATTGTAAATTTTTTGAAATGATTTTGTAAATAATTAATTAAAAAAATAAAAGATCAGTATTGAACTTTTTTTTGTTTTACGAGGCTGCTTAATTGTCTTAAGAATAAACTGATCGTAACGCAAATACTTCGTTCGCGTTGACTTGAGATATCATTTAAATTTATCTAACCCCCGAAATTATTTTTGGTTAATAAAATTCATTTTTTTTTTATATTAAATATATATGCTTGTTAATATATCTACTATTACATGATAAAGAAAAAACTATTACTAATAATAAGTTTCTCTTGTAAAATGAGAGATTTATGAGATGTCGACCAAAAATAAGTGTAATAGAATTTTTATAAAGTAAAAACAAGAATCGTAAAGTTTTATAATATTTATTTATTTAAATGATGTCACAAATTTAAAATTATTTAAATAGAATCATTATTTAAACATTCAAAGTCATATATATGCTACTTTTTATCATTTATAGTTCACAATCTGCACAATATTTAAAAAATATAAGGATGCTTCAAAGAAACTAAAACTGTGAAGATTTGTCGATTTGAGCCGATCTCATAATATGAAATATTACACTTCGAGTTGTATTTTCCATAAAATCACCAAGAATGATTTGTTCCATATTAAAATAGTTCCAAACTCCTGCAAGAGGTCGTCACTAATATCTTTGAGATTTTCTTTTTAGTAATGTTGAAAATTCCAAGTATATAATTTATATCTATTGAATTTTAATATGTCATTTCACCGAAAGTTTGTAAATCTTTTCCTCTAAATCTACTTACAAATTTTTTCATCATTTTTTTCCATGCCTTCTAGTTCTGAATTGCTTCATCCTAAATAGGTTTTGTGTACTCTGGTTTCTTTATTATCATTCCTAATTAATTTTGTCTTTAAAACTCTACAATAGAAACTTGGTTGTTATAGTAGACTTTTTTTCTAAATATAGAAATAAAATTCTAACTGTCAAATCGATTGGGCTTTCAGTTAAAATTTTGTTCAAAAGCTATACTAGAAATTTCAAAAACAACATTGGTAATACCAAAAATTCAAGACGATTTTGAAGTAAATTTATGGAAATTCATTTAATGCAGCACAAATAAATAATATTAACCATTGAAAATTTCTTTAAACATATTGATATGTATTACGTATATTTACATTGGTCATTTGTAAATTCGTTTCATTTTAGGGAAAAAATCCTAATCCTTTTCATACAAAGGCTTTTTATGTTTAATCCAGATATTCTCTACAAAACAGGTTAAAGATAAACAAGGTCATTTACTGGAAATAAAAAAAAAAAAAGGAGGGAATAAATGAATTTGTTAGTAAATTAACAATAAGATTTTTTACTCGGATTTTTATAAATATTGACAATTATTATCAAATCACGTTTTTATTAATTCATTCTAAAGAAATAAATAACATTTTTTAGATAAGGAAATAATTTAATACTATTTCTATATATTATATTAATACCTATATCTTTTATTCGCAAAATTACCAAAAAGTTTAAAATTTGTTTAAATACTATATTCTTTAGTTTGATTCGGAGTATTTTCTGTTGGAATTCCTTTCTCTGCATTCTAAATAATTAATATAATAAAATAATTAATTAAAAAATTTTAATGAACAATATTATCAAACTTCTTATTAAAAATTGTAGTACTTACAATAGCATTTTTGTGTCTTCTAAAGTTTTGGGTTAACGCCTTTCTTACAGTTTTATTTGTTATTCCAAGAGCCTTCAGATCATCATCTGTCATTTCAAGCATTTGTTGCCATTTTCTACCTTGAAAATAAGGATACAAAAGCCCGTAGGAACGTCCAAATGAATGTAACCAACATTCCTCATCTAATAAAAAATAAATTATAAACAAAATCGATCGATGTAGTAAATAACTATTAAAAGTAACTGACCTTCCATTAATTTATAGTCAATTTCAAAAGGTTTTCTACTAGGAGAATCTTCAGATTCTGAAGAATTATCTCTAGAGGCTCTTTCCTTGGGAGGTAACTCGACTCCATTTTTAGCGGCCTTTGATTCATAATAATAACGGTTAATTTATAACAAATAGATTTTTATAATTTTTACGACTTATATGATTTGAATTCGCATTGGTTAACAACTTACCATATCACGTTTAACTTTCCAGAAAAATCTTATCAATCTAGTTCTAATTCCTCTAGACTTAACTCCCAATGATTCTAAATCTTCCCAACTTAATTCAATGATATCATTCCATTTTTTTCCTTCAAAGTGTGGTGCCATAGCTTTCATTCCTAATCCTTCAAGCCACTTGGGAAAATCTGAAATTTTGAATTACAGTATAAAACAAATTAAATCAATTCAATTAATTAATAAATTATATAATCCGTAATTTATTTAGAAGAAGGGTATTTTGAAGAAGTGTAATTTCATAATTATCATAATTATGATAAATTACTACCTTCTAATAATTCGTAATTAATTTTTGCGATATAATTGTCAACTACGTATTGTCTAGTCTTTTCTACTTTTTCTTGTACTTCTTTAGGTGCTTCAATTTCGACAGTATCCGTTTCAGAGTCAGCATTTTCCGTATTTTCTGTTACAGTTGCCAAACCACGTTTAAAATTAATGACGGTAGGTTTTATAATATTTGAAGTCAAAGAAAATTTGGTGGTATCGCAATTTGATTTCGTGATAAATGAAAATGAACGTGAAGATAAATTAATAATTGATGAAAAGTTAGAATTAGAAGAATTAATTCCACGAAGAATGTTGCGACAAGTGAAATTATTTAATCTAAGAGTTGATTGTTTAATATTGGCTTTAATAAGATTTTTTGCCACGAGGCTGATACTAAAAAGGGATGCCATTTTTTTCTGAATAATTTATTTTTTTTTTATTTAAGAGGAAAATGTCAATAAATTAATTGAGAATTTAAAATCAAAAGAATATCCCTTTTTGAAAAGTTTTCTGAAAAAAAAAAGATAATCTAAGATCAAAAAAAATACGAATGATTGGTTATTTTCACGTATACGTATCAGTATTTTACAAAGCACTTATTTGTGCGACCATCTCGCCAAAAAAAAAAAATTCGAAAATATTTTTTATTTTATTTTAAAATTTTTTTTTTAATTACAATTCAATTTTATTTTGGGATTTCATGTTTTAAATCACTTTAAAGTATATTTTTTTTTAGTACGATGTACGATCATTTTTGGTGGTTATTTTTTATGCCCGATGACTTTTTTAGAATTCATAATATACATACATACATATCCGTCTATCTGTGATTCATGATTTGGGAAAATGAATTAAAGATATTAATTTCATAAAATTTCATAAATATTCTACAAGTTTACGATGGTTTCAAGTTTGAAATGTCATAATTCTTTAAAACCATCATTTTTTTGAACAAGTACACCTTTCTATCGGTTTATTTGAACCTAAACATTTTAATCTGTTCAACTTGCCGTGACCTTCTATTAGCATGTAACCCAAATGTCTGAAGTGCATTTTTCAGCGAATATTTTTTATTTCTAATAGAAAAATTAATAATAAAATTGGGCCGTTTTATAACTGACATTCAAGCCTCCAAGCCATGCGCACTTGTTGGATTTAAAAATTCAAAATAATGATTATTTATACCATTTTTATGGTATCTCCGACCGGATAGATCGATCGTTAAGATCGCGATCGTACACAATGGAAGTGTGAAACAATATCTACAAATTTATCCTATATTTCGAAGTGCACTCAAAACTAATCATGTGAAATTAAGAACGTTCAAGTTCTAGAATCTATATACTAGTGTCTTTTTTTTTACAATACGGTGCGTTACATTTTAACCTGTCAATTTTTTGGTTGCAAAAAAAAAAAATTTTTTTTTTTTTTATAATAAAATTTGTGTGAAATATAAAAATTTTTTTATTAATACTCCAATTTTTATACTGGTGATTCACATATTGATTTTTAGGGTGAACAGGAAAAAAAGAGAGGCAAATGAATCGATGAACAAATGAACCAGTGAACAAATAAACGGATGAACAAATAAACGGATGAACAAATGAATGACAAACAGATAAACTAAACAGATGGATAAATGAACAAATAGACAAATGGATGAATGAAAAATTAGGTATGATTTTTGTGTTTCAATTTTATTATTTTTACTATAAGATGAATATTATGAAATATATAAATATAAATATAAAAAAATAACTTTGAAAATAAAGGCCAAACGAGTACCAACAAAATTATAATCTATATCAAAAATGAATATGAATTATCTCTGTAAGATATTCATACATTTAAAATACACAATAAATCGACATATCTATCCAGTCTCTGAATGTATATTTATATAAATAATGAATTTTTTATAAGCCCGATTTTATTATTAATTTTGTTATTAGAAATAAAAAAAATTCGGATGCTTGCCACCGAAAAGTGTGAAATAATGCATTTCAAAACGAATTAAAATGTTTATCATTGAAATTTTAAGTAAATAGATTCAAATAAACAGATAGAAAGGTGTACTTGTTCAAATAAATGATAATTTTAAAGAACTATGACATTTCAAACTTTTAAAACCATCGCGAACTTGCGAAATATTTAAAATTTTTTATGAAATTCAAGAATTTTTGTAATTTTTGGTGATTTATTTTATACAAATTGATGTATTTTTTCAATCCATTTTCCTAAATAATGAATAATATATTAAATATTTTCAAAAACTCTAGAAATCCTTGAATTTAATCATAGATAGATAAATGGATAGATATGTGTATATATATATATATGAATTATGAAATAATATATTGGACACTTGCAAATGTGAAAATTATAGCTATTAAATACATGAAATCAAAGAAAGCTAATCTATTATTGTAATATAATCTGAGGAAATTTTAAAAATTAATATTCTAAAAGTCCTCTTGGCATAAAAAAAAACAAAATAAATGATAATTAAAATATAATATATATATAATAATCATAACAACCAAAAATGATCATACTAAAAAAAAAAAATGAAAAAATACACTTTAAAACATGAAATCCCAAAATAAAAGAAAAAGGATATTGAATTGTAATTAAAAAAAAAAAAAATTGAAATCATAAAATAAAAAAATATTTTTTTTTTATATTAAAAATAGTAAAAGGAATGAAAAATAATAAATTGGTTCATATTGTTTGTTCATACATAAAATTTTGGTTGTGTAATTAATATAAATTGATGCATATGGTTGTTATTAATAAATAATATTTCAACTTGAAATAAAAAAATTTTTTTTTTCTTGTGGAGTCTTTTCATTTTTTTAAAACCCCCATGAACATAAAATATTATCGTCAAGAATTATTGTTGAATTCTATTTCATAAAAACAAAAATATAAGAATAGATAAAAATATGAAATAAGCAGATTCCATCGGATTAAAAACTTACCTTTGTACAAAAAAAAAACGGGAAAAATAAAGAATATGATTAAATATCTTCTTTAATTGGTGGCATACCAACTGCAGAATCAAGACTTGGACTACCCTGATGCGTCGCTAAATCATAAATCATCATTTTATCATTAATAAATTTCTTAAAATTACTAAACTTAAAAGGTTTCTGAATTTAAAATACCTTGTGAAGTAACTATTTCAGAGACTTCCGTTTCTTCTTTTTTTTCAGTTCTCGACCTATTAGTTGCCTTTTCAGCATTTCTAGGTTTGGGCAAATCTTCAAAATTTAATTCTCGTGATACCATATGTGATTCTGGTGGAGCTTTTCGCAGCCTTTCGCTCGAAATTCTTGACAGACTAATATTCCCACTTTCATTTCCTGAATCATCTGCCCCACTACCGATAGCATTACTCCTACCATTAATAGATAATTGTCGTCGTAACTTTTCCGCATCTGCAAAAATTTCAAAACTTTTCACCCGAGATGTAGTAAACATTTCAAAACTATTATTTATCGAATTAGGATTTCCAATACTAGAATTCGAAATATTGTTTGATTGTAACTGAGTGGTAGATGCTCGATGCCAACTACTGGTAATCCTAATAATTCGTTCTATATCAGGTCGTTTAGCTGGATTAGCATCCCAACACATTTCCATCAATTCTCTATATACATCTGGTGTTCCAGCTATAATTTCCGGTCGAAGTCCTTCACATATATTAACTGCCAATTTTCGATCATATGGACGATCAAGATATGGTCGTTGGCCTGAAGTTATCTCCCACATTAACATTCCCAGACTATAAATATCAGCTGCTTTTGTATATTTTTCACCATGTAATACTTCTGGAGCAATATACGGAAGCACGCCATATACTTTACGTTTTTGATGCTCTTCTTCTTCTTTAGTAGTGGTGATGGTCATATCATCAACAGTTTTTGAATTAACACCAGCAGGAAAACCTAATCCAACATCTGTTAACATTATCTTTGCTCGTTTTATAATCCCAGTGCCACTCGGTTGATCAAAATGACGTAATATATTTCCACTATGTAGATTATGATGAACGAGATTTCTTTCGTGCAATTCATTTAAAGATTTTACTAGATCTCCAAGAATACTTACTCGTTGCCACCAATCGATGGTAGTATAATTGTGACGAAGATATCGATTTATATTTCCATTATTGGCGTATTCCATTATTAAATAATAGTCTTTTGATTCCGGATCTTGAGTTATCCCATAAATTTGAGCGAACTTTTCATTTTTTTGAGCCGAGAAGCATAATTTGAGCTATTAAAATATGAAAACAAATGAAAGTTATTGATTTTAATTATTAAATCTTTTTTTTTTATTATTATCAAAATAAAAACTTTAGAACGACTTATTATACTTCGTTAATAAATTCTGAAGAAAGATTCGAAGAATTATCTAATCGCCTAAGTGCCACAATTGTCTGTTCTGAATCATTAATCAGTGATGTTGTAGATGGTACATGTGTTATTTTTTGTACCGGATGGAAAGTTTGTGAACCCGAAGAGCTGATCTTACTTAGAAATGAACTTGAAGAAAATCGCTATATAATTGATAATATAATTGATAATATAATTTATAATATAATATTAATAATATAATTGATAATATAATTTAGGGAAAAAATAAAACAAACATTGCTTAAAAATAAGTCACAAAAAATGAATTTCTTTAAAAAGAATAAAATACCTTTTGATTTTTTGAGAATGAGAGTGATCTAAATAATCCTTTGACCTTTAATAGACTATTTCTTCTATTGATTTTTAAACTATTATTTCTTGATGACTTAAATATAAATAAATAATGAACAGAAAAATAATCAGTCACTTCCTTAAAACATGTGTCAAATGATAATAAATTTCTATCACACTTTTTTAATAATTCTATTATTTACCTTAATAGAATCAGCTTCACTTTCTTCCAATGGTTTACACTTTAAAATTCTCCTTGACTCAAAAATTATTTTCATTTTCTTTGTAAATTCATTTACAACAGCATTCCAATTCGACTCATTAAAGAGTACATTATGACTCTTCACATAGTCCAATATAATTTGATGTTCCATATTAGTTACCCATTGTGCTAATGTTCCATTTAATCGATTTACTTGCCATCGCGCTGAAAATACTGTAGAAAATCCACCTCGACCAATTTCTTTCAATTGTGTGAATTGATTGAACGGTATAAATTTTAGGAAACCATCACTAGAAGTAGATTCAAGTTGAGTTTGGCGAATGAATTTGTCTAATTCTTGATTTCCACTAGTCCAGGTATTAAAATTTGATTCAAATAAATATGCTTCACAGGAACGACACCATTTTGGTCCGGTATATTTTTGTTTACATTGAAAACAAGTTTGAGGAAGTCTTAAATTCTCAGGAACATGTGTAGAAAGAAAATTATAATTATTCTGGTAATGATTATTCAAAGAAGTTTGTGAAGAAGTAGTAGAGGCGGTAGTGATATCAAAAGTTTTCCGAACACCGTCAAAGAACCAATTTATAAAGTTTAATACATTATTTTCCGTACCCAAACCTTCTATTAGGATATTATGTAACTTTTCTGTCATAGTCCACGTTTCTTCTGACATTTCACTTTTATATTTTGTGTAATCTTTCACATTTCTTCCTCTTGTTTCTCTTCTTGGGTTTGCTAAAATTAAAAAATTAAAAAATTAAAATTAAAACAATTAAAATTTGAAAATATTTTTTTTTCGCACTCGATGAATTCAACAAAAGAAAAAAAAATTGATATATATATATGTATATTTTGAACGAACATTTAATATCATCAACTGTTATAAATCCATATCCATAGGTCTTTGACAATATCATTGCCACTACGGCAACATTTATATGATGCTTTACGTGATCCGGGAAATCCATGTTTACAGAGTTTTTGTTAATTCTATGTCTATGGTTTTTATATATTAATATATTCCTCTATCAAGTTTTGTTTCCAATGAATTTTTTAAAGTTAAATTTCTAAATAAAATTGATATTTTCTTTAATAAGACGCCCTTTCCACAAAAAAAATAATAATAATAAATAAAATTGATATTTTTTTTTAATAAGACCCCTTTCCACAAAAAAAAATAATAATAATAAATAAAATCCGAATTATTTCCTTCAAGGAAATAGATCGAATAATTCAGAATGTCTATAATATATGAAAAAAAATTGAATTTGCTGCAAGAGAGAGATATATATCTATATATATATATGTATATTTTTTTTTGGATTGAAATTTTTTATTTCCAAAAGTAGGTTTATGTATAAAAAAATTATTTTATCTAGAAAATTAAAAATATCTCTTTTGAAAAGAAAAAAATAAATAAATAAAAATAATAAATTCAGTTTCTAAATTTAAATTTTTTTTTTTTTTTTGTAAAGAATTCAAAAAAGTCTATGTATTTATCTATGTATTAACCACCCAATTTTTTACTTTTTTTAATTTGTATTTTAAGAATTAATAGTTAATATACTTAAATATAATTTTCAATGATTTTTATATTCTTTTTTATAATTAACAAAAAAAAAGAATAATACTAAAAATAATACTAGGAATAATGATGATAATAATGATAAATAATAATAATAATAAGGATAATACTGAAAGATAATACTAAGAATAACACTGGTTGTGTTTTTTTTTTTTTCTCTAATTTGAAAAAAACCGAATTTTATTCGAGATAAAACTGGAGTCAATTATATATAAGTACATCCATTTTTTTTTTTAACCTCATTTTTATATTCACCTTATGTAACAGGGGTGTGCCAATATTTAATATTCGAGGGATTTTAGTGGAAATTAAAAAAAATGGAATTTTTTGTAACATCATCGTATGCATGCTTTTTTTTTTTTAACAAGTTTTTTTTATTTATTACATTGCATCATGATCACGAAGGATGGGATTGGTTGAGAACTATTTAAAACTCGAGATTTATTATGGAATAAAGAAAATAATAGAAATAACTTATAAAGGATATTCGTTGATATTCTTCGTCATCATACTTTTGTATTTTTACTATATATAGATAGATATTTATTGTTTATTATTTACGTTTCCCGAGAAAATTTGATTTTTTAGATGTTTTTTTTTTATTGATTTTTTATTTTATAGATCCTTATTGATTTTTTTATTGTTCCATTTTCAATAAATAAAAGTCGAATCCAAATTTAGAATATTAATTCTTGTAAATTTACGTAATTTTACTCCACAACGAAGAGAATTAATAATGAAATGTTTACAACGAAATTTTTACTAAATAAAGTTATTTAACACCATTATTAGAAAAACAATGAATACATTAAAAAAAGTTAAGACATTACTAATTAAATTAAATTAAAATTAAATATTAAATTTAATTATTTTTTTTTTATTATTATAATTTCCCTTGTGATCCATAAATGAACTTATTCATATTTTTCTTTTTTCTAATAATCACCTTTTCTCCCGTTTCACTTGAACAAATTTGTAAATAATATTTGGAAGAAAAAAATATTATTTTTTTTAAGTAATATAAATTACTCTTTAGGTAGGATGCTGTCAGATGATCATTAAATATTTATGAGTTCTAAGAAGTCGTCTCATATGATACCGCCAAAAAGAAAATCATTAACAATGGTTAATACTTAGGAATATTATATATATGTACGTATTACTGTCTTGTTATTTATTATGTTTATCATTCATGATTATTTGGGTTAAAATATAATAAAAATATAATAAAAATATAATAAAAATATAATAAAAATATAATAAAATATAGTAAGTGATATATTAAAAGATAAGCAAAGATGCTGTGTGTGTGTTGCGTGTGATAAAAAAAAAAGAATACAATTTCAATAACGTGTTTTCGGATTCCTTTATATTTGACGCCGTCATTTTATCTTTCTTTTTTTTCTTTTTTCATCTTTCTCCTTGTTTATATGTCACCCAAACTTGTTGAAAACGAAAACTCACCATTCGGATTTATTTATATTTCAATTCCAATAACCTGTATTAATTATATTAATTATATTAAAAGGTTCTTTTATTTATTCATTTATTATTTTTATTATTTTTATTATTATTTTTATTATTATTATTTTTAAGTTTTTTTTTTTTTTTTTACTTATTACTACTCACTACTCCTTATGACCTTATGACTAACCAATTATATTAAATTTGGTTTCATCTCTCCCTACAAATTCTAAAAATCATAATTGTGTTTCGAATCAATATTCTAATATTAGTATATGATTCGTCTCAGTCACGTTATTTTCACAAGGAAAACAAGAATACAAGAAATCACATGAAACGTTTACGCGTTCATTTTGCATTTATTTAATTTAATTTTTTTTTTTGAGTAATTCTTTGTTAAACTAAAAGGTAACAAAAAAAATAATAGAAAAAAGGTAATTCTCTTAACAAGGAAAAAACATAACAGTGAAATGAATAATTAATTAATTATCAATAATAATAATAACAATAATAATAATAATAATAATAATAATAATTATAATAATAATTATAATAATTATGAACCTAAAATTATTGAAAAAAAAAAAATAGTATTCTAATTTTATTAATTTTATTCATCAAAGTAAATCTTAACCTTTTTTTTTTTGTTCTTTATTTTATTCATTGTAATTAATAAAATAATAATAATGTTAAGAAACAAACCAAAATGTGTAAAGTATTTAAAAATGAAATTATAAAGTTAACTCATGGAACCTATCTACAATTTCTACAAATTTTTTTTTCCTTTAATTCTTCTTAAAAAAAAGATCCCAGTTAAGTAAAGAATTAAAGAAAAAAAATAAAATAAAAAAAAAAAAATAAACAAAATAAAATTAAAAAATACAATGTTATGCAATCATAAAAAATTTACCACATTATATTGTATGCTCATCTTTTTCATTCATCTTAAACTTATTATTATTATCTTTTTTTTTTTTCTAACATCAAAAAAAATTAAAAAATTAATTAATTAATTAGGACTTTGACCTTTCTTATTCACATGAATCTTTTGATGACGACGAAGGTTGCTCACTACAGAAAAACATCGCCCACAACCATCTTCATTACATCTAAAAGGTTTTTCACCGGTATGAGTATAAATATGAGTTTGTAATGTGCTAGGTCTAGAAAATCGCATATTGCAATAATTGCATGCATGTTTCTTTGGACTATCTATCGATGTACTTGCTCGAAAGCTTGCCATCAATGATTTTGGAGAAAGGATATCTCTTTGTGGTGTTCTACTCAAAGGTGGAGGAGTTCCAGGTGAATATGGATTATGATAAGGGGATGAATCATTTGGTGAATAAGTAGAATTATAAGTTGAACTCCTTAATGAATATTGACGACGATATGGGGGATCCATTAATTGAAATCGAGAATATTGGATCGGAGTAGAAGTTCTAGATTGTCGATTTACTGAAGGTACATTATAACCTTGTGTTGTAACTTTATCCTCGGAAGTTCGTTCTTGATTTAATGATGATGAATTAGGTGATTGAGATGATTCTGAATAATTATCATCATTACCATATGTTGAAGATGGTGATTTGATTGAACGACCTGACATCCTTGTTTCCGTACATCGATAAATTTCATCTTTATCAATTACTTTCTTTTTTTTAAAATAGTCCAATTGAAAGGTTGCACTTGGATTTACCATAGAAGGATTTTTGAAGAATGTGGGATCTATATTACTTTCATCGAATCCTTTCGGTATTTTCAAAGTTGTATCATGAACATCTTTCCCATAATCAGTAAAATTATTATAATATCCATCATTATAGGCTTCAGTGGAATGAGGAATATAATAACCCCAATTTGGTCTGTATCCGTTAGCATCATAATCTGAGTAATAATCGTTGGCAGTAAAGTAAGGTGAATTTGAACTTTCTGCCATTATCATAGGAATACGAATAGTTAAAGGAAAGAAGATTTCTATAATTTAATATAAATAAAAACTGAACTAAAAAGTTGTAGTAGTTAATATTGTCAAACATATGCAAAGTTATAAAGACTATTTTAAGAAAAAGGGTACCAACCTTATTATATGCTATTTATCGTTTGTTGTTATTAAACTCATTAAACTTATTACTTGCTCTAAATTCTCATCCTATTTTCGGGTACTTTATTTTAAAATGTTACAAAAAGTTTATACACAAAATTTAGTAAGCAACCTTTGGTAACCTTTGAAACCTTTGAAAAAACCTTTGAAAAGTTCGAGTGTGTACAAAAATAACAAAAATAACAAAAATATAGAAGAATGATAGGTCCGATAAATTTTGTAGAATCTAGAAGGTTGATGACATAATGCGCAAATCACAAGACATAATTTATCTTTTGTTTACAATCCCCATCTATCATATTAATCTTCATATCAATCTTTCATAATAATAATAATAATTATTATTATTATCATCCTTTTTTTGAAGTAAACAAGAACTATAAACCTTAATTCTAATGACTCCTGAGATATCTTCTAAGGAAGAAAATATAATGCCAAAGGAATCAGATCTAGATTTGTTACTGGCTACCTTCCTCGGTGTAGTATTTGGTGCAACTATCGGTTATTTTGTTAATAATTATTATAATATTTGCCCATATGAAATCAAATACTTGGAACTTATCAAAGAATATGTCAAAGAATATATATCTTCTTTAATAAATGTTATTATAAATGATATTACAAATGTTGTTTGGGAAAGAAGCGATTATTATTTCAAAATTTGGGATGGTAATTATTTATTGAAATATGTATAAACATACACACATATGTATTGATTGATGTTAACATTTAGTTTTTTTTTTTTTTCTTTCTTCTACACATTTTGATATCTACAAATATTTTACTACGGACAGAAAGAATGAATTTGGGGAGAATTTTCATGGTATCATCTTTCATTCATTAATCATGAATTCCGAAATTGTTTTAGTTTCATAAACAATGAATAATAATAATGAATAATAATAATGAATAATAATAATAATGAATAATAATGAATAATAATAATAATAATAATAATAATAATAATAATAATAATAATAATAATGAATAATCTTTTTTTAAAGGATTGAAAAAATTAATTAACGCGTCATTTTTAAAAGAAACTTATCTATGACATTCGTCGCGATTTACAATAAAAAAGAAATTGTAAGAATTTTTAAATTATTATTAAAGTAATTTAATTTTTAAATTTTAATTATTTATAATTATTTATCATTATTTTCATTATTTTCAAACAGGACAACAAAAAAAATTAATATGATTATGAAAATTATGTAAATAGATTAATAAAAAACTTATAATTTCCATTAAAAAAAATGGTTATTTTTTAATTAATGCTCATTGAGTGAGTGAGTCGTTCATGAGATGAAGATTGATATATATATACATATATAAGATGGTGGACAAGGACGCTCTTTGGAATAGTTCTTATACTGTCCTTGAAAATTTGTATCCTTTTTAATTTTTGACTAGAGATTTAGATATTGATAAAGAAACTTCACATGATGACAGTCTGAAAGGTATATTATCACTGATAAAGCTAGAGTATTCACTAATAACGGTAAGTACGAAATTAATTAATTCAAGAATTTAACCAATTGAACTTATAAATTTTTGTCTGTTTGCAATTATAATAAACATTTAAATATTATAAATGTTGAATGCTGGAAAGATGATTCAACCACCAAGTGTGAAGCTCAAAGCTTGAAATGAGAGCCTTCAAATAGCATCAGGAAATTTCCATAATTATGTAATATTAAGCATATAATCAATATAATCTCATCACTTTTACTTAAATTGGTTTAATATTATAACCATAACGTGACATGAGGTTTAATGTCAATGAGATGTCGTACGAACCTTTCGTAATGATCACCAACCTGATAACTATATATATCCGAAATTATGACACAATATTAATTAAAAAAACCCGATATGTAATTAAGATTACAAGTGCGTCGTCAAATATGTCCCCCCCCCGTTAATCAGGATAAATTTTAAATGTTGTAAATTGTTGTAAATATTGTAAATATTGTTTAAATATTTTAAATATTTTAAACATTCAATTTCCAAAGAAGTAAATGAAAATTACACAATCAATTTTGACGAAACAAACTAGGAAATTGAATTAATTAATTGATTGAACAAATGTATTGTTTAACGTTCTGTTCGAATTTGAATATTTTTTTTTTTTTTAAAAAAAAAAAATATCTGCAATTATATGCATCAATTGAATATTTCTCTTTACACAAATAAAAACTCCTTTAAAAATTAACACAACAAACCTTTCAAAAATGGATTGATAATCATTCAATAATCAATTATAGTCATTATAAAAACAATTAACAACCAACTCTCAATCATTACTCAATCATGTTTTTATTATTATAAATACGTTGGTACATCTATTTTTGGTTACTTTTTTCTTTATCCCTTTGTTCTTTAATTTTTTCGTTTATCGGGATTAAAAAATAATAATAAAAAATAAGTGTTTGAATGTATATATATATTCACACACATATATATATATAAAATAACATATATCGTTGGATCGCTCATTCGATTCATTTTAACGTTAACGAACGAACCGAACGAGACCTTACAAAATGATTATATTTCGCGAACATCCGAATTTCTTTCTTGCCATAAAATGCGTTCAACTTTTATTGGCAATGTTAATTTTTATGTTTGGTATGTTTTAAATTCTAAATTCTAAATTCTATCTTATATATTTATATATAAAAATAATTATATATAAATATTATAATAAAATAATAATAACAAAAACAAATAATAATAATAGTTTCTTCAATAGTTATAAAATTTTGAAAAATATTTTTTTTTTAAAGAACAAAATAATAATATTAAATAAATATTATTATTTATATAACAGAAAAGTTTCCTCGACAATTTTAGTAAATTTGAATTTCGATATGCATTGACCACGTGATATTTTATTTTTATTTTATATAAAACAGAACTTGGACAATATTTATATTACTCGAATAAATTCGTTGTGAATCATAACGACTGGTTTGATCCATCTCACGGTAGTCAAGAGTAAGTTAATAGTTAATTGTTATATTTAATATTAATAATTAATGTATAGTTAGTTATAATTAAACATAATAATATTAATTAATATATTTATATTTTTATATTTTTATTAGAAATAATGGACAAACAAAAATTTGGGTTATCACAGTATGCGGCTTAACCATTCTAAGTCATAGTAAGTTATTATTATTATTTATTATAAATTTTAATATAATGATTATAATCATTAACATAATATAATCTCATAAATTAGTTATATATATTACTCGCTTTTTAAGATTATGGAAGAAAGGACCAAGTATATTGATCGAAATGTATGTATTTTATTAATTATTATTAGTTATTATTAGAAATTATAAATTATTATTAATGTTATTAATTATTAATTTATCATTGTTAATTATCAATTATCATCATAATTAATCATAATTAATTGATTATTATCTTTGATTTAAATAATAGTCTTTTTTCTCTTTTATGGTTAACCTCTGGTAAGATAAATAATATTAAATTAATCACCTGAAAATAAAAATTATGAAATAATAATAATAATAATAATATTTTATTTATTTAAGTTCTCGCCAATCTGGATCCTATTTACAGAGGACTTAATCACATAAATTGTTTATCTGTTGATGTTGTTGGTAATCCGAATTGGCAATTCATTTGTAGTTTATGGGTGACAAGTATAATTTTTGGTTGGATTATTTTCATTATTTATTTATTATCAACATTTGTCGCATATCAAGCTTCCAAAGAAAATTTCAAAGGTCTTAAATCAGGAATTCGTGGAGGTTATAGAGGTTATATTAGTGATGATGATGATTATGATAATCATAATAATGGAAGAAGTAATATTAATAGAGGTATCAAATTTTTCAATAATAATAATAATAGTAGTAGTAATAATAATAATAAAATCATTCATACCGAATTCATTAATGAACAAAAAAAGATGATTTCAGAATCAAATGATGATACATCACCTGTTACAGTTATTACTATACCAAAGGTAATTCATCATCATCATCATAATAATAATTTAATAACAGCGGAATTAGAAAAATTGGAAAAATTGGAAAAAGAAATTTCTCAACCCACTCAATTATTATTACAAAGTGGTTTACCTGATCAAGGAATTCCTTTACAAATTGTACTTCCTCAAAATACTTATCAACGAGTTCAAGAGGAATATTTAGAAAACTCTTCTAATAATAATAATAATGATAATAATAATAATAATAATAATAATAATAATGATAATAATAATAATAATAATAAAAGTTATAATGGTAATAATAATAATAATAATAGTAATAGTAGTAATAATGGCAGTAGGAATGGATCAACAACATCATTACCACAATTACCACAATTACCACAATTACAAATTTCTCAACCTCATGAAGTTGTTATAAATAATGAACAAGAACAACAACAACAACGACAACAGCAACAATTACAACAGCAACAACAACAACAACAACAACAACAACAATCAGAATCAGAATCAGAATCAGATGAAAATCATTTAAAAATAGTTCCTTCGAGAAAGGCATCTGATACTTCTTCATTACATGAAGTTCCTCTTTAAAAATACACATCATATTTCCACCAATAATTTAACATCTTTTTTTTTCTTCTTGTACTTTAAAATAAATGAATAAATTATTTAACATTAGTAATTATATTTATATAATTTTATTATAATTTATTATTATTTATTATCTTTATTATTATTATTATTATTATTGGTGAGAAAGTAAATAGAGAATGAAATGAAATGATAAAAAAAAAATAGACCGTAGTATTTTTAGAAAAGTTATATATTAACTATATTAACTGTATTTAACTGTATTTAACTGTGTATTTTTTTAGTTGATAACGAATTTTTAATTTTGGTCTTTTTTATTTTTCATAATTATGTTATAAGTTTTTAAATCAAATAAAAATTGATAATTGCATCTATCTTATTCTTATCTTGATTTGATATTATTTTTTACGATAATCTTCGATTCTTTTTTCTAAAATGAATTCTTTTAATTTATTTAACTTATTACATCCAGTCAAGAAGAATTCTTTAAGAATTCCTTCATTATTTCTTAAAAGAAATTACTTTTCAAATACCGTATTAACTTTTATAAATTCTAATAACAATAATAATATTACCGCAATTGATGTTATTGATTCATTGATACATGAAAAATGTGAAAAATATGAAAAATATGAAGTTTGTATAGTATTCATATCAAGAAATTATTTGGCTCAAGAAATTGAAATGATACCAAAATATATTTATTCTAAATTACAACCAAATTTTTTAACTGGTTGTGTGGTGGATAAAATATTTGATGATAAATTAAATATTGGAAATGGAATTTCTTTATTTTTAAGTGGTGGTAATAAAAAGGTTGGAAATTATGAAAAGAATAATGGAATTGATGGTGGTGGTGGAAAGAATTATAGGATCGATGGATTTAATGTAAATCTTGAAGGACCTAGAAAAGAATTTAAAACAAAATCAGTTGGAAGATGGAAAGATTTGAATGAAATAAAAAATCATAATGAAATATCATTAAACGAATGGTATGATGTTACTAAATTTCAAAGTATTTCAAGGATCTCTTCTAATGTGTTTATTGATTTACCTGAAAAATTAAAAGATTTAAAAGATAAAAATATTAGGTATATTCAATTATTATTATATTATCATATCAAATATTTATTTAATTATTATTATATTAATATATCAGATATGATTAATTATTATTACATTATTATATCAGATATTATTAATAATTATTATTATTATTATTATTATCTTTTTAAAGTCCAGAATTAATTTTCCTGATTTCAGATTCAGAACCATACCAATTCTTAGAATCATTAGATTATTATTTTCCTCAGAGCAAAAAGGTTTTTATTATTAAAAATATATGTTGTACAATTTATATAATTGATATATTTATTATTATTATTATTATTATTATTATTATTATTATTATTATTATTAATGATATGTTATTATGGATATGTTATTATTTATATATTATTATTGATATGTATGTTATTTATTTAGATGGGAATTATTGGGTAAGTTTAAACATTTCAATTAATATTTTAAATATATTAATTCTTTCTTAATTAAGTCTTTTGTCTTTTCAACTTTATATAATAAGGTCATCAACCCCATTCATAACAGGTCGTCCATATAGTTTATTTAATAATGATAAAGTATTGTCAAAGGGTATAATAGGAATAGCATTCACCTCTAATGAAACATCTGAATCACATAAAAATTTTCTTTCAGTTGATCATTTATCAATGTGTTCTATAGGTGATCCATTTAGAATAACTAGGTATTTAGATATATATTAATCATTATTGTTATTATTGTATTTATTTATTTAGATATTATATTAATTATTAATTATTAATTATTATTATTGTATTCATTAATTATTTTTATAATTTTTGACAAGTTGTCAAGGAAATATTATATTAGAATTGGAAGGATTAAATCCAACAAAATTATTACTTCAACAACATTTGAAATCTGGTAAAAAATTATCTAAAGATACTGAATTTTATTTAGGATTGTATGATCCAGATGAAACTATTTTGAATGTAAGTTATATTATTATTTAAAAATTATAATAATATTATTATTTTAATATTATATTATTATTTAGGAATCAACAATAATAATTAATAAAATATCAAGTGGTAATCCAGTTAGAGGTAATATGGCAATTGATACTACAAAAGATTTAAAAAATGGCCAATTTGTTAAGGTAATTTATTTGATTAATATTATTAATATTAGATTATTTATTTATTAATTTATATTTAATATTAATTAATATAATTATTGTTAATTATTATTATTTATTTATTATTAATTATTATATTAAAGTTTATGTACAGAAAAAATAATAATAATTCAAGATCAACTTCTCTTGTTCAAAATATATCTTCAAAAGAAATTACCACTGGAATGAATTTTATTTTAACAGTATCTGATAAAGAAAATCTTGATTTAGAAGAAAAAGGAAACAATAGTAATAATAATGATAGTAATAACAATAATAATAATAATTGTAGTAGTAAAGATAGTAAAAATATTATAAATCCTACTAAAATCTTTGGTGCCACAAGTGAGAATGGAATAATTATTGGTAAAGGTACAAAAAATCAAAATGGAATATCTTGGATTTGTGATATTCCTAATTCATCTGTTTTTTATTCATTTCATTAATATAATAATAATAATAACAATAATAATAATGACAATAATAACAATAATAATAATAGTAGTAAAAAAGATTAAATATATATATTCTTAAATTATTAATACATTTTATTATTAATTTTTTTTATATAATATTACAAAATTTCTTGATTTAATTTCTTTAGTAATAAAATCTATATACTATTCAAATTTAAAATTTAAAATAGAAAATTAATAATAAAATTTTATTAATTTTATTGTTAATATTTTTTTTTGATTTAAATAACATGTAATTTGCATATACTAATTTTTTCTTTAGAAAGTTTTATAAATCTTAATTTTAACTTATGTTTATTTTTTATTTTAATATATTACATTGGTCACATTTGTTATTAACTCTTGAATCTATTTTTAAATTTATTTATTTGTAACTTGTTTATTTATTTCTTAACTATATATTAATTAAAGATTTAACTGGAAAAATAGATAATATTATATTTACACTAGTTAAATATAAAGGAATTACTGTACCAAATGATAATTTTTATATTAAAAATCAGAATTCCTATATTATAGATTATACTTTACAATGAAATAATTACATCAATTATGTCAATTAGTAAAATAATTATGTCAAATTATATTTACAAATTATTTTACTTAATAATATATATAAAAAATTATAATACGTCAAATAAGTATACTATAAATTATCTAAAAATTGATAAATTTTCAATATAGTATATTTTTTATATTTAATCTGTATTAGTAATAATTAAAAATTTTTAACAATTATTTTTGAATTTAATTTAACTAATACTAATTATTTTATTTATAATATTTATGTATAAAAAAAATTCCTATTATTTGTATATTATTTACAAATCTTTTTATTTATTTTATATATTATTTCAAATTTTTTTATCTATTTATATATCATTTATAAATTTCCTTGTCTATTTATGAATATGTCTGAAATTAACTAATTTAAAGAAGTGAAAGGTTAATACATATTTATTATATTATATAAAATCATGTAATTTATTAAAGATTACATATAAAAAATTTTATTTTTTGACTTTGTTCATAATTTATATAACAAGTATTGATTTTTTACTAAGATAGTTTTTTAACAAATCAAAAATTTCAATTTTTAACTGTAAAATAATAAATATTTTATTTTTGTAAAAAATATCTTGAAATAATATTAAAATAAATATTATTTTTTTTTAAATATAAATAGTACAAAAATTATTATTTTGAGTTATTAATTAAGATTGTTAAAATTAATTTTTTATATTTTTTTGTTAAGTTTTAATATTTATTTATAAGTTAAGAATAGAAACAGTGAAACATGGGACATAGAAATAGTTAAAAAGTTAAAAACATATAAATTTAACAATATTAACTTATTCATATATATATATATTTGTAAATAAAAAAAGAATTTTACATAATATAATATTAATTTTTTTATAATAATACAAAAATCAAAAATAATTATCAATGGTTATTACATATAAAATATTTTATTTTAATAAGTAAATATTAAAAATAAGAGTAATTTTTATGTTATATTAAAATAACAAACTTATATTATTAAAATTGAGAAAACTATTAGTTATTAAATTTCAAATAGATAAAAATATTTTATACAACTATTTGCTCAATTTTAAAATTATATATCTGTTTTTTAAATATAATATATAATTTATTCTTACCTTTAAAGTTATTTAGAATAGTTTTTAACATTTACTTATAATATTAAAAATTTTATATATAACAACAATTGATAATTTTGTATATAATTATATTATAATTATTTTTTTATACAATTATATACAATATCATTAATTATTTTTACATATAAAACTTTTTATATTGTAAATAAATATTAAAAATAGTATTAAGTAAAAATATATTAAAAGTATAAAAAAATTTGTTAAAAAAAATGAGTTAGTAAATAAACTAATTATAAATATATGAAAAGAGTAAGATAAAAATATGTATCCTGAGCTAGCACTAGTCATCTTGCTATATTTTACGCTCCAAAATCATTACCAAGCATATCAATTTTTATACATCAATTCAAGCTTTTGGCTACACAAGAAAGCTACCAGCTATACTACCTCAAGTATGTGACTTGATTTATTTTTTTCACCACATTTTCATATCAAAGCATATCAATTTTTTTTATATCTAGAACACATTCAATTATTCAAATTCATATCCACTGGTCAAAATAGGGAATATCAGACACCTATCGTATGCCTATCAGTAGGGTTGTTAATAGAACATAATAGGTTGGGTTGAGTTCATATTATAATGGAGCAATGGTCAACCCAACCCAACTCGGGTTAAATGTATCACTGGTACTTCGCGGGTTTCTCCGTGTGTTGCTCCAGGTTGTTCCGGGTTACTTCATGAAGTAATAATTATAATTAGTAAAACTGATCAGAAATAATTATTGATCGTTACTACATATAAAACTTTTTATTTTAATATATAAACGTTAAAAACGGTACTAAATAATATTAAAGACAAAAATGAATTGCGTATCATATTTAAAGGATAGATTTATAT